CAGAGCACAAGGTGGGTGGCTCCACAGGGAATTTTTGTGCGTTGGCCCTTTAAGAGGGTGCCCGAACTTTCAGCTGCCACTCCCTGGTAGACAGCACCCCACTGCTTTTCACAGCTAGATGCTATGTGGGTACCCTTCTCATTTTGGTGCTCTCTGCTGGGGAGCCCAGCTTCAGGAATAGGTCCCAGAATTCTCAGTGGCCCAACCCCCCCTCCTCCCCACAGCTGAGATATCTCTCCGGGACTTCAGTTGCTGTCTGTAGGTGCCTGGCCAGCCCTTTGGCGCCTCCGCACCTCCTACCAGTCTCTATGCTGTCTCCACCTTTGGTCCTTGGGTATCAAGGTTCTCTCCTGTGAGTTTTCCATTAATTATTCAGGAAGCCTTTCCATATTTCAGTTGTAATTCCAGTTTGCTCCTGGGAGCATGTCCATGCAGCATCCTCCTCCTCTGCCACCATTTTTAATCTGGTATTTCGGGTTTCTTAGAATATATTCCTAGAAGTGGGATCACTGGGTCAAATGGTAATTCCATATTTAATTTTTTGAGGAAACGCCATACTTTTTCCCATAATGGCTGCACCAGTCTGCATTCCCACCAGCAATGTACTAGGATTCCTTTTTCTCCACACCCTCGTCAGCACTTTGTCATTTCTTGGAGTTGTTGATGGTAGCCATTCTGACAGCTAAGATTTGGAAACAGCCTAAGTGCCCATCAGCAGATGAGTGAACAAAAACTATGGTACACTTACACAATGGAATACAACTCGGCTGTAAAAATGAAAAAACTCTTACCATTTGCAACAACATGGATGGACCTGGAGAGTATTATGCTAAACTAAATAAGCCAGTCAGAGAAAGATAAGTATCACATGATCTCACTCATATATGGAATCTAATGAACAAAATAAACTAATGAACAAAATAGATCCAGACATGGAAGCATGGACAGACTGACGAATTTCAGAGGGAAGATGGGCTGGGAGGGTGGTGGGAAGGGATTAACCAGGAACTTATATGCATAACCCATGGACACAGAGAAGAGTGTAGTGAAGGGCCTGGGAGAGGCGGGTGTGGGGTGAAGGGGATCAATGGGAAAAGAAAAACAAAAACAAAGGGACCATCTGTAATACTTTCAACAATAAAGATAAATTTAAAAAGAAAAAAGAAAAAAAAAAACATTTATAAGTTGACCCATGCAGTTCAAACCGGTTTGGTGTTTTGGGTTGTGTTGTTTGAGATTTAACTGTATATCTAAATGTATACACCAAATTTATGGCACTATTATCAACAGGAGCTTTTTTAAAAAATATATTTTTACTAGAGGCCCAATGCATGAAATTCATGCAAGAGGAGGCCTTCCTGAGAGAAGAAACCAAGATGGCGGCATAGGTAAACACCGGAAATTGCTGCCTCCCTCAACAAATTCAAAAATACAACTAAAAGACAAAACGGACATCATCCATAACCACAGGAAGGCTGAGTGGAAATTCTACAACTAGAAGGAAAGAGAAAAGCACACTGAGACTTTGAGGAGGTGCGGAAGTGCAGAGGTACGGAGGCGCACGTGGCAAGGGCTGGCAACTGAGGACGCGGCTGTCTTTTTGAATCGGGAGGGAGTCTCAAGCCCGTGACTGCTCAGAAATCCAGTTCCAGGTGAGTCTCTGGGGACCTAGACTCATACAGGGAGAAACTGGACTGTCTGGCAGCGCGCAGAACTCAGAACTCAAGGGCGGCTTTCTCTCAAAGGTGCTTGAAGCGATTACTGGTACACTGAGACACGGGGCCCCTTAGGGCAGGGCTGAGGATCAGCCATAGCTGCTTGCTCTGCCCTGTTGATCCCCTGAGACCGCCCCCCCCACCCAAGCTGCTGCAGAGGCTTTTGCATATGAATGCCCTGGCCCTTTGCAATCTGAAAATTACCTAACAAACTGCAGCTGGGCCAGACAGACCCAGAACTTCCAAGAGAAGGCCCAAGGCCTCACAACAGCTTGCATTGCTTCACAGCTGGGCCTCATCTGGGCACCTCCAAACCCCAAACAAGGAAGGAGAATCTGCAGATCTCTTCATAGCACCTGCTGGGTAGCCTCAGGCAGAGACTAAATTAGCACCTCCTTAGATCCAAGAGTCAGTGTACCCAGTGGTCAGAGTGGGACCATCCAATTACAACTCCTCAGATCCATAAGGGACACACTCAGGGGGCAGACTCAGTGAGCACCAAAGCCCCACTGAAGCAAGTCTTGCCTCATAAGGGTGTCTTCAGCACAGAAGTTCTCCCACTGTAGACACAGCTGATTCTCACAGCCAATTGGCCTGGAGGTCAATTCCTCCCAGTGATACCTACAACAATCAAGGCTTAACTATAACAAGACTGTGCACAAAGCCCACAAAGGGGTGCACCAAGACTGTCCACCTCAGGTAATTGGGGAGGCTGAGCCACTGGGCCCTATAGGACACCTAGCACACAAAGCCACTCTACCAACACTGGGAAGCATAAAAAAGGCGGAGACAAAGAAACAGGTCACAAATGACAGAAATGGAGGAAAGCAAACGACTGGATATAGAGTTCAAAACCACGGTTATAAGGTTTTTCAAGAACTTTCTAGAAACCGCCGATAAATTTAGTAAGACCCTCAAAAAGTCTGGTGAGACCGCTGATAAATGTAGTGAGACCCTCAAGAAATCTAGTGAGACCCTTGAGGTTATGAAAAAGGACCAACTAGAAATTAAGCATACACTGACTGAAATAAAGGATATTATGCAGAGTTCCAACAGCAGACTAGAGGATCGCAAGAATCAAGTCAAAGATTTGAAATATGAAGAAGCAAAAAACACCTAACCGGAAAAGCAAAATGAAAAAAGAATCCAAAAACATGAAGATAGTGTAAGGAGCCTCTGGGACAGCTTCAAGCATACAAACATCAGAATTATAGGGGTGCCAGAAGAAGAGAGAGAGCAAGATATTGAAAACCTATTTGAAGAAATAGTGACAGAAAACTTCCCCTACCTGGTGAAAGAAATAGACTTCCAAGTCCAGGAAGCGCAGAGAACCCCAAACAAAAGGAATCCAAAGAGGACCACACCAAGACACATCATAATTAAAATGCCAAGAGCAAAAGACAAAGAGAGAATCTTAAAAGCAGCAAGAGAAAGACAGTCAGTTACCTACAAGGGAGTACCCATACGACTGTCAGCTGATTTCTCAACAGAAACTTTGCAGGCCAGAAGGGAGTGGCAACAAATATTCAAAGTGATGAATGCCAAGAACCTACAACCAAGACTACTTTATCCAGCAAAGCTATCATTCAGAATGGAAGGTCAGATAAAGAGCTTCACAGATAAGAAAAAGCTAAAGGAGTTCATCACCACCAAACCAGCATTATATGAAATGCTGAAAGGTATCCTTTAAGAAGAGGAAGAAGAAGAAAAAGGTAAAGATACAAATTATGAACAACAAATACACATCTATCAACAAGTGAATCTAAAATCAAGTAAATAATCTGATGAACAGAATAAACTGGTGATTATAATAGAATCAGGGGCATAGAAAGGGAGTGAACTGACTATTCTTGGGGGGGGGAAGGGATGTGGGGGATGCGGGAAGAGACTGGACAAAAATCGTGCACCTATGGATGAGGACAGTGGGGGGGTGGGAACCGGGTGGAAGGGAGCTATGGGGGGAAAAAAGAGGAACTGTAATAATCTGAACAATAAAGATTTAATTAAATAAATAAATAAATAAATAAAGAGCTGTCCAATGGTTAACGAATTTTTTTTAAATGACTAAATAAAAACAAACTCCACATACACAACCCTCCCCTCCCACCGCAAAAAAAAAAACCCCAAACAAACAAAAAACAAAACTAGATGTCTCAGATCACTCTCCAGAGTGGAAGCCGGGAGCAGCTTCAACAACCCGAATTAGTCTGTTACAGAGTCATCATAAGCATGCCTTGCTTTTAAACAAAACAAAAACTAGTACTGATCACTTTTCTGCCAATACACAATTTCTCAAAATTAACCAGTATTGAGAGGGGGAAAGGGACCGTATCGATGGGCCTGTTTCACACGAGTGCATGTGGGTAGGTGCAGGGCATTTGTCATTACTGCAAAAACGAATTTTAATTTTTAATCTTTAGTTTGATTTAAACATTGCTTTTAGTATGATGCCGAAACCAGCTGTGCAGAAAGGGCTCTGGAGAGATGTTCATAGCAGCACACACCTGCGGCTCTTCTTCGGTTCTGGAGGCTCCAGGGCAGCCAATACTGCTTCGTCAAACACATTCTTTAGGCCTTTCTGTGTGAGTGCAGAACACTCCACATACTTGACAGCCTTCAGGTCACGGGCCAGCTTTTCAGCAGTCTCTGGAGTGATAGGTTTGTTTGTTCTTGGCAAGTTTCTCAATCGGAGAGGGGTCATCTCTGAGATCAATCTGGGTCCCAACAAGCAAGAAAGGAGTCTTTGGACAGTGGTGAGTTATCTCAGGCACCCACTTTTCTTTCACATTTCCAAATGAGGATGGAGAGACCACTGAAAAACAGACTGGAAATACATCTGTTTGTGGATAACTCAGCAGTCGTAATCTGTCGTAATCCTCTTGCCCTGCAGTATCAAAAAGTCCAAGAGTATATGGCTCTCCACCAATCATAACTGACTGCATAGTTGTCAAAAACAGTCGGTACATACTCAGATGGAAATTTGTTTGTTGTGTAGGATATCAGAAGACATGTTTTACCAACAGCACCATTGCCCACAACAACGCACTTAATTGTCTGCATTGCTGATCCACTTTAAATATTTCAAATCCGATGATGACCTCAGCCTCTCCACCGGGCCTGCCACCCTTTTTCATTTTGCAGCAGAACCCATTCTGATGGATGCTAAACTTGTAAACTTTTATTCCTGTGAAATATTTATTCAATAATTCTGATGACTCGAGATCCAATCACAGTTTAAACAAACAGCAAGAACATTTTATGTGTTCAGAAGGGGATAGGGCTCACCTTACACACTATTTCAGTTTCAGCTACAGAACAGGTGAAGATCAAGGTCTTCTGTGCCTGACTTGGAATGAAGTCAAGAGTCTGGAGTAAAGTAGAGGTTTTTTCACTTTCTAGGCAAAGATGTACCACCTAGTAAGGAAATACAGAAACAATGTGATTTTTTAAATGTTTAAGGTGCTCCAGTTTTACTTTACTTAGGCAAGTTATGATTTTAATACAAAAGGATGTGTAGGAAACCAATATAAATTTAACTTCCCAATTACAGATTTGCTGATGATATTAAAGCTATAATCTACACTAATAAAAGAGAAAAATGGTAATTGGCGTACGACCGCTACCCTTCCCATTGGCTAATCAGTGAGTATATGCAAATTAACTGTCAGCCAAGATGGCGGCCGGCAGCCAGGCAGCTGGAAGCGAACATGAGGCTTGCTTGCTCCAGTGACTGCAGACTTCAACATTCCCCGCCTGACTTGCCGGCCTCTGAGCTGGCAGTTTGAAACATTCTAACAAATATAGCCGGCTGGGATCTCAGAGCTGAAGTTATACATTGTTTCGATTATAGAACGGCAAACAAACCAGCAGCGGAAGCCTCAGAGCTAGAGCCAGAGCTAAAGCTGGCCCAGAAGAAAAAAAAAAAAAGAAAAAAAGGAGTGGTTGGGAGCTTCCCGCCAGCCTGAAAGCAGCCCTCAGCCCCTCACCCAGACTGGCCAGGCACCCCAGTGGGGACCCCCACCCTGAAGGGTGTGTGACCAGCTGCAAACAGCCATCATCTCCTCATCCAGGCTGGCCAGGCACCCCAGTGGGGACCCCCACCCTGATCCAGGACACCCTTCAGGGCAAACCAGCTGGCCCCCAGGCCTCTATCCTATATAGTAAAAGGGTAATATGCCTCCCAGCACCGGGATCAGCAGAGCCGCGAGGCCTCCTGGCACCAGATCAGCATGACAGGGTGCAGCGCCCAAACCCCCTGATCACCCTGCGGCTCTGTGTGTGACAGGGTGTGGCATCCCAACCCCCTGATCGGCCCTGCTCTGTGTGTGACAGGGGGTGGCGCCCCAACCCCCCCACCCCCACGGGCCCTGCTCTGTGTGTGACGGGGTAGATCCATAACCTCCCCATCGGCCCTGCCCTGAGTGTGACAGTGGCGGCGCCCCAACCCCCTGATCGGCCCTGCTCTGTGGGTGATAGAGGGCGGCACCCCAACCCCTTGATCCGCCCTGCTGTGTGTGTGACAGGGGGCAGTGCCCTAACTCCCCTATCAGCCCTACTCTGTGCATGACAGGGGGAAGCTCCCCAACCCCCTGATGGGCCCTGCTCTGTGCGTGACGGGGGGGGGGGGCAGTGCCCCAACCCCCTGATTGGCCCTGCTCTGTGCATCACAGGGGGTGGCTCCGCAACCTCCCCATTGACCCTGCCTTGAGTGTGATAGGGGGTGGTGCCCCAACCCCCCAATCAGCCCTACCCTGAGCGTGACTGAGGGTGGCATCACAACCTCCCAATCCGCCCTGCTCTGTGCATGACGGGGCGGCGCCCCAACTCCCCAATCAGCCCTGCCCTGAGCCCGACCAGGGGCTGCACCTAGGGATTGGGCCTGCCCTCTGCCACCCAGGAGCAGGCCTAAGCCAGCAGGTCATTATCTCCCGAGGGGTCCTAGACTGCGAGAGGGCACAGGCCGGGCTGAGGGACCCCCCCTTCCCCCCCGAGTGCACAAATTTTTGTGCACCGGGCCTCTAGTCCTATATAATAAAAGGCTAATATGCAAATTGTCCCCTCAGGAGTTCTACAGACCAGGAGTTCGAAAGCTCGCTATGGCGTGCACTGACCACCAGGGGGCGGGTGGAATGAAGGAAGGCTCTGGCTGGCAGCCGGGGGAAGGAAGGCCCCGATCTGTCCTGATTGCCAGCCAGGCCTAGGGACCCTACCCGTGCACGAATTTTGTGCACCGGGACTCTAGTCTTTTAATATTAAGTCATGACACATTCATTAGCACCCCACCACGCCCCCATGACTCATTACCTGCTGGACGCCGCCGTAGAGAGCAGCCTCTTCCATGGCAGTGATCACGATGTAGGGGTCATTCATGAACTCTTTGATTAAATGCTGTATATGTCTGTTCCAATGAACTCCAACTGCAACAATTTGATGTGGTGCAGATTCCCTTTCTTCAACTTCAATATTTTTTTTAAAGTTATCTAATATAGCAAACACCTAAAAAATTAGTATAACTTAATTTTATTTCAAAAGAGATTAGTTTGACAAAACTTAAAACATAAAGGATTGTATATTTTGTTTTCAGAGTGGAGAAGGCCTTTACAAACATAAAAGTAACAAAAAAGGAAAAAATGCTAGGTGCAGACAAAATTAAAACATTAACATCCAGGTAAATATGTGTAACATATGTACCAAAGGATTAACATCCTTATACAAAAACTTCTACAAACTGATTAAAAAAGACAATCCCACCAACAGAAAATAATAAACAAGCAATTCATAGAAGAATGAGTACAAATGGCCAGTATGAATTCATGCTCAACTTAACAAGTAAATAAAGAAATACAGATTAAACTAATCAGATGCCATATTACAAATCAGACTAGAAAAGAAAGCTGGACTGAGGCCTCCCACTGCCAGGGGTGCAGGGAGGGCAGTGTGGCGGCACGGTGCCTAAGGGAGTGTAAATTGCTTCCAGAAAGGCAACTGTACAAGGCAGTCTTCTGGATATTAGTTTTGCAAATAAGAATTGAGATTCTAGAGGCATTCAGAAACCCTGTGCAGACCGACAGAGTCAGTATCTAAAGCTTGGACTTGAACCTGAGGCCATCACTGCTCCCAAATGACTGCTCTTGGTCATCATGTTACACTGCTTCCAACAAATCTCTTATAAGAATTCAGTCTTTGATCCATTAATCCCCTTTGTAGGAATTTACCCTATGGGAAATGTGCTAAAAAGATGTATTATGTTCTGAAGCCACACACACACACACACACATACATACACACACAATGTTAAATATCTAAAAATAAGACAATTATAAAATAAATCATGTTATGTCCATAGAATTCAATATCATATGGCAAGTAACAATCACACTATAGAATAGTAACAATACAATGCTATTTACTAAAAAATGCAACTTATAAACTACCACAGAAAGGTACTGATATTATTAATTCCTATGATGAGGAATTACAAAAAAGAAAGAACTACCCCAGAATAGTGATAGTGATTTCCTGAGTGTAAGATTATGGATGTTTTCAAGTGCTCTCCTCTATTTCCCAAATTTCTAATATAAAAATTGCTTTTATAATCAGAAAAATATTAAATAATTTCAAAAACCTCCATAGTTTTGCTTTTCAAATAGAACACTGGTAAGAAAATTTCAGAAAAAAATTCTCTCTTCTTAATCATAGAAATTAAAGAGAAAAAATTTGAAATTAACCAGCTTCTACCACAAATAGACACTCTTCTTGAACCCTAAAAACAATGAACACTTTAATTTTATATATTTGAGTAGTAATGATATCTAAATGGATGCCTTACTTACTTGTTCATTAGCTTCAAAGAATAATACTTCCACCTCATCCAAAATGAGGTGACAGAGTCTAAGAAATAACAAGCTTTGATATCTGAGAAGTCTCAGGAGGCTATGTGGTGTTGTAACCATTATATCACCTATATTTTAAAAGAAAAAAAATTAACATTTTAGATTTTCCACAGGTTTTTCTAACATTTCCTTTCCTAAGATTCCACATACTTTCTAGAGATGCCTTCTAACAAAACAAAAAGCTGTTTTTCTTACTCAGGCGGGTGAGGCAAGAAGTTTACCTGCCCAGCTAACCCCGCTCATTATCGGATTAACTACCTGGGCTCCCATCACGTTCTGCACAACTAAAAGACAGGGAGCGTTTAGTCAACATCCAACAAACAGGAGGCGTCAGCAGGTAGTTCATAAATGAATGAAATCACATAGTTTTCTCTTTTTCTCACAGAGATAAGCCAAGATAAACCTTCATCATCTATACCTATCGGAACTGACAGGGCGGTCTGAGCTAGTGACCATCAGCTGCATCTCTCAGCTCCCTGACACCTGCAGCTCCCAGGCCTGCTGGGCGGAGTTCCACTGTGTTCCGTAGGGAAAACCAAACAGCTTGGAAGGATGCTTACACCCCCTTGGAAGCTTCATATTTTTGGCTTCATCTTTGTGGAGTCCAATTGTTAATAACATAGGATGAAGAGGCCTGGAGGACACGCCATAGACTCCCAATAACTCAAAAATAAATTGGGCCTTTTTCCACCCAGGACACACGATGACTGCCAGAGGCTGCAAAGACAAACAAATCCACATAATTTTGAACAAAAGTTAGGAATCAGACACATTATCTGTGAAGCATGTAGACTCTTTGTCCAGAGTAAGCACTATATACATTTTTATCATCATCACATAGGTCAGAAAAGTTAAACTATAATTTCATCAAAAAGGATTGAGACACATTGGCTCAGACTTTGCTAGGGCTTAAACTAAGCACTTCACAAGTATTAATCTCCTTAGTCCTTAAAACACTCCTACAGGACAGAACCTATCGCTACGTCATTTCACAGAGGCAGCATCTGTGGCACAGAAAGGGGAAGTCAGTTGCCCAAGGCTGCACAGCTGACACATGGTAGCAACAAGATCTGAAGCCAGGCAATCTGGCTCTACAGCTCCTGCTCCTCAGCGTAAGGGTGAACTAACCGCTTCCTGAAAGGGGCCTTTGAAAAGGTTAACATCTCTTCCTTAGGTGACTGTGTTTCCTATAGCACCATCTGAACCCTGCCCTCCACTCTGCCACAGATATCCCCTGAAGGCGCACAGCCTGCCCGCACCTAACTGAACACAAGAGGAGACGGCTTTCCTTCACACAGGTCCCGGCGAGTGCCAGCTTCCAGGTGTCAGCCTAGAAGCAGGCTGACCATGGACATGCAGAGGCAGCAGAGTGGACACAAGAGACAACACCTGGACACCCCTTCCTGGCCCAGCCAGGGTTCTATCTCCACACAGGCTGCATCTCATCAACGCAGTCAGCTACTGACTGACTGATGGATATAAATGTATCCATTTAGTTTTATTAAATACATAATAACTTAGCCAATGCAGATTTCCAAAGGAAAATCATTACACTACCTAGCATAATTCGAAAAATAAACTGTCATCTTTTCTAAAACGCAATTCTAAGTGTCTTTTCGTACTGCTATTTCTCACCTTGTAATGAGGGGCAGAACAATCTGCAGGGTGTCCTTTGGGATAGGATCTGAGACAAAGGCCACACCCAGCAAAGCAGATGTCACTACCCCACTATCAAATATCTGATCCTCACACCCCATTTCTCTCCTCGCCATCATTTTTCTCAGCTATCTTCAGATTCTGACACATGGGAAAAACAAAGTAGGTTTATAAAAGTGTGGGGATGCTATGAAAATATTTGAAAGAATATGAGACGATGACAGAAAACCTACATTCTAAGCTCACTTCTTGTCACACTTGCCAGCTGTTAAGAATTTAAACCAGTAACTTCCCATTAATTTAATTTTCTCATCTGTAATACTGGTGAAAAGAACACATGGCCTGACCATCTCATAGGGTAGCCAGGCCAACTAGATAATCAGTGAAATACTTTTTATAAACTATATATTTGTCTCTAAAAGCTGGACTCTCTTGACTCAGCAGATCGCCCACAACTGGGAGGTCAAAGGTGAGAACAGTGTGAGATGACTGTGATCAGATAAAAGTTTCTCATGGGACAGTTTCTGTCCTGACAGTTTGAACACCAAATGAATAATGTAACCTAAATTTTACTAAAGTTAGGTGTAAATTTTAAAAGAAATATTTAATCCATTTTGTTGTGAAACAAAATTGTCAACTTACTCCGTTTCTACTTGGTAATGACTTGTAGCAGCCCCCTGTTTGCAAAAGCGTAAGCACTGGTGGAAGGTACAACAAAGGGTCATTTCCACACTGAGAAATGACAACCACATCACAGCCACGTGCTATGGGAGGCCAAGAGTAAGATTCAGTGTGGCTAGGTCCCAGAAACTTATTTCTTTGAAGAGCCTACAAAACATCAATAACAACCAAAAACCACAATAAACTAATGAAAACCCATCTCATTGCTCATTTACCCCAACAACATGTATACGTTGCTCATTCTGGCATTTTCCACTGAATCTTTTCTAGCACCAAAGTCCTGCTAGAAGATTCTTGCTTTTCTAGGCTCCAAATTAAAGGATCCAACTGACCACCCAGGTGCTTAAAGCTCTCCAGCACAAGGATATGGCTTCTTGTCTAAATCTGACGGTGCATCAACTTCACTTGTCAATCTTTTTAAAAACATGCCTTTATTTGCTTATTTTCTATATGACTGTTACTAAAACCTCCCAAATGTCCCGAGTTCTCCAGCCACATTGATACTATTTTCCAAAAGGCTCATCTCATCAGTTATCTCCATGAAGTCCTGCTCCCAGGCCCTGAGCCCACTGCAATCAGGGCTGACTCCGCTCTGCACCTGGTGCACAGCTGCCATTCTGGGGTCTCCCTGCTCCATCCCCCTCTTGTCTGCAGCACACACTGTCTTCTTTACTTTCTTGTGTTGGTGAACATATTTCAGTTGCTTCTTGACAAAGGGTGCAGAGGAAGTACATGTGAGGCTTTGCACATCTGAAAATGTCTTCATTCCCCCTCACACTTCGTTGATAGACCTCTAGGCTAGAAGTAACTTATTAGAACTTTGGAGTCAGTGCTCCTCTGGTGTTACGTGAAGCCTGCAGCCATTCCGTTTCCTATCCTTCTCCCTGGAATCCTTCATGGTCTCTGAATCCCTCCGGTTTAGATGCTTTGCAACAACATCTACTATCTTGTTCCTCCGTTGTGCTGGGCCTGTGGTAGGTAAACTCCCTTAACTCAGGAAGTCATATCCATTGAGTCTAAAAATTATTCATGTGTTACTGTTAGAATTGTCTGCCCTCTTCCCCCCTTTCTTTCTGGAAATTCCATTTCAGATACTGGACCTCAAGTTGACACTCAATTTCTCTTTTCCTCCCTATTTCCATCTCTTAGTCTTTTGTTCTACTTTCTGATTATTAGCTTTTATCTCTCAAATCAACTATTGATTTTTATGTCTACAACAGTATGAATTTCTAATAACCTATTTTTTATTCTCTGTTCCTTTTCTATAGTGCCCTGTTATTGTCAAATACATACAATATATACCTTATTTCTAAGGATATTTATTTTCTAATGTTTTCTTCTATTCTCTACACGGTTTATTTACATCAGTTTGCTTGGGTCTTACTTTTTTCCCTTGGGTGAGGGCTTTCCTCACAACCTAACCATCCCTGACGCTCACCTGAGGGCGGAGCAAAGCTCAGCACCACGTGTGAGCCACATCACCGCGGAACACGGGGCAGCAAGCACATGTTTTTAGTGGGAGAATCCCAAACAGCATCATCTAAAGGTCATTCTCTAGGGCCATTCAGTTTCTCCAGAAGGACCCTTCCTTCTCCTTCCTGAGCAACTGGCTCTGGATGTTTAGGAAACAGGGTGGGGAAGCTCACGGCCCCCCCCCCCCCCACTTCACTCCTCCCTCGGGGTGTCGGCCAAACCCTGCAGCCCGAAGCCTGTGGAAAGCTCTTGTCCACCAAAGACTTCACTCTCATTCTAGTCGCCCTTGGGGTTTTATTCTTTAAAAAAATATTTCAAAACTTTTTTTTTATCCAAAAAGGAAGTAAACATGTATGATCAATTTACTACATAAAACAAAGGTCTATAAAGCAATTTTGCTAAGACGTATATCATAACCATCCTGGCAACTCGTTTCTTCCAAGTCCTTTCCACAGGCACTTTTGAGAACTTATTTCAGAAAAGCACTTACAGTTACACATGGTTTCTCCATAAAAGAATTAGTCACTTGTAAGAAGTTAGCCTGGACTTAAGAATAAATAAGAAATTAGTAACAGAGGCTTATAAGAGAATTTCAAAAGCAAAGAAATTATACAAATGCAAGTTCAGTAGAAGCTTTTATTAAAAATCCTTCCACCTTCGGGCAGGTCAGTACTCCTCCTCGAGTTTGGTTTCAGGAGCACTTTTACCTTTTTCAGGTCTGCCGAAAGCGGCGCCGTGTCGATGGACAAGCAAGGCTCAATCTTGTTTCGGAGCACCGCAGAGGCCTGCTGTGCGCCCGTCTTCAGCTTCTGCAACTAGAGGACACACACGTCAGTCTGCCTGCGGTGTCAGCACGGAGCACCAAGAACTTTATGGACATGAGAAAAGACAAGAGTTTGATTTCAAAAATCATCAAAACTACCAAAATGAAAGGAAGATCTTCTAGTATCCCCACTCCCAAGAACTATTTCTCTAAAGCACCGACTCACTAGACAATTCCTAAAAGGATGTCTTCAGATAGTCTCCAACTGAAGGGGTTTCTCTTCTAATCTCAAGTATAGAGGGAGGAAAGAGAGGGATTTAAAAAGTAGTTTTCTTTTTTCACTTTTTTTTTAGAGTTGTAATACCTGTTGCAGATCAGAGATTCCATCAGCTCTCAAAGGATCAGGATTTAAAAATTGCAATAATCTGTAAAGTAGTTAAAAAGACAATTTGAAGGGAAAAAATTGTGTCTTTTTCTTGAGTTATTATTCTAATTCTTCTTTGGCAGAGGTAAACTTGTTCTGCTTTGCCTGTTCACTGTGGGACAAAGGCCACTGTGGTCAAGGCAGTTCCACGCTCCCACCAGCCCCACCCTGGGCCTCAGGCTGTGGACACAGAACTGCCAACCTCAGGCCACCTGCTGTGAACAAGGAGAAAGACTGCATGATCCCAGGTCATCACAGTCTAAACTATCCACCGTCTCCTTCCTTCTTTGCTGTTGAATCCTGAACACCTCCAACTCCCTGGAACCCACAGTGGACGGATGAAGTGCAATCAGTGGGTTCTAAGTAAAGGGCACTCAGCCAAACAGGAGGTCAGATACAACCTTCTAATACAAAAGTATCAGGCGATGGAGCTGTCTCAGTATAACAAAAGAAATGAGTTACATGGGCAACGCAAGGTCTTTTGTTCCACGGAAAGCGCCCACTGTGACACCGCAGCTTTCAGGTGTTAGGGAGGCGGATGTCAATCCAGGTGTCGCTCCAGATCTGCGGGCTCCATGGCTGCCTCAGAGCTCGTGGCCTTGAAACACCCTGTGTAGCTTCTGCTGGATGAGGATGCACACCCCACAGGGTGGCCTCTGGGAAGCTGGGGGCCTGAAGGACTTCCACAGTCAACACCTCGCCCCAGCCATCTCAAGCTAATTAGCGAACAGCATGACCTGTACCCATTTCTGAACTGTCTTAAACTTTGTCACTCTGGTAGCTTCAGAGCAGCTGCAGTACTTGAAATGTAAGAGTGGTTTTATTTTATTTTTTCCATTGATTTTAGAGATGGAGGGAGGGAAAGAGAGAGAAACATCAATATAGACTGGTTGCCTCCCACATGGATCCCGACCGGGGATCGAACCCGCAACCTGGGAATGTGCCCTGACTGGGAATCAAATCTGTGATCTTTAGGTGTACAGGATACTCGCCAACCAACTAAGCCACACTGGCCAGGGCTGTGAGAGTGTTTTTAGGCTGGTGTCGTAAGAAGTCTTAAAAGAAAGTATGAAAATATTCTGTGCATTAAACAAGTGTAAAATGAAGTTATTACTCTACTGTGAACAACTTGTAAGTAAATACTTTGTGAATCTGGCAGGACAAAGAAAAAAAGATCCCCAGTTCCACACTGCAAATAATTAAACAGTTTTTCGAGCCAGTGATAAACCTATTTAACATAACAAAACTGGAAAGAAAGCAAACACCAACCTATATAAAATCAATAGCCCCAAAAGATCAACTATATCTAATTTATTTTGTTCACTTCACCAAAGAAAATCAAGAAGGTGAGATAGGAAATGTATATTTATAGTGGAAGAGAACTTTAAACAGAAAAATATACCTTATGTAAAAAAAAAACTAACTTCAAAGCCTAAAGAAGCCATTGTATGTATATTTTTAAATGGGAACAAAGATTTGAAATTTATAATAAAATCATATGTAAATTCTTCCTGCTTATAATTTTATCATAATTATTTCAATAAAAAATTTAGGCCAAGAAAAAAATTCATACTTTATACAGCCATTCTTCTCATTGTATTCTTTCTTCTCAGCCAATCTGAGTGGTTTCTCATTTGACTTCTGACGTAAAGCACTAGAAATAAAAAAAAAATTATTAAAATTTATAAACCCAATCCTTAAAATATCTTTATTTCCTGGGAAAAAAATTTAAAAAGTACCACTGAGGAACAAGTTGATCTATGTAGGTAAATGTATATGGGAACTGGAGCTGAGCCGCTCAAGTATAAACACCATTTGACAGTTCTGGTGCCTGCCAAGAGGCAGTAAGCCCACCACAGCCCCTCTCCTACCGATCACCACTAGGAACTCTGGATAAAGTACAAAACTATAGGGGTGAGACGTCAAAATGTGAAAAACAACCACAATCATGGAGAGTTTCCTAGATTTTTACCTTCCACTATAGCTTGGTGTTAAACTGAGGATGACCTGGGACGGTGTAGAGGATATAGATATAAAAATCTCAAGAGAAACCTCAAGCCAAAGAATGGGGAAGAGGAGCCTTCAAGAAGAAGCTGGGAATCCCAACTGACTTTCCCTCTTTTTCTCTCCTTGGCCTGCCCAAGACCAGCGCTGATCCATCGAGCTGCATGATGCAATGGCAACAGCAGTGTGGTCACCGGAACCCTGAGAGAAAACCTCCCCCTCCCTCTAGAGCAGTGGTTCTCAACCTTCCTAATGCTGCGACCCTTTAGTACAGTTCCTCATGTTGTGGGGACCCCCAACCATAAAATTATTTTTGTTGCTACTTCATAACTGTAATTTTGCTACTGTTATGAATCGTAATGTAAATATCTGATATGCAGGATGTATTTTCATTGTTATAAATTGAACATAATTAAAGCATAGTGATTAATCACAAAACAATATGTAATTATATATGTGTTTTCCGATGGTCTTAGGCCACCCCTATGAAAGGGTCGTTCGACCCCCAAAGGGGTCTCGACCCACAGGTTGAGAACCGCTGCTCTAGAGGAACTGGGAAACAGGTCTAAAGACTGTGTGAGGACAAGCTCCATTATTTTCTCTCTCTCATTTCTATTGCTGTTTTGCTCCACAAGCAGTCCCAATCACACAGAACCACCCGGCAGTTTCTGCAAGAGAAATCATCTACCTGGTCAGAGGAACAGGGAGAGGGAGCAACAAGGAAAAAGTGAACGTGAGAAAAATCCTGGAAAAGGAGAGAAAGCCAGAGGGGAGAGGGTTTCCCCTATTATTGCTAATGACCCAAAACACATCCCAAGCTCACTCCAAGTTGAGCATATTCAGAACAGATCCAAAGCAGCCAACCAAAGACTTGGAGATTGAGCCAACATTGCAATCACCACCCTCAGAAAGAAAGACTGAATTGAGGTTTGAACCTAAGGGAGTGGTTGACTTCCCGCTAAAACAAATGAACAAGAACAACAGCAAAATTAATATTCTACAGAGGATTTAACAGAAACCAGAGCCTCACATCATAATATTCAAAATTCCAGAATATAATAAAAAAATTATTCAACGTGCAAAGAACCAGGAAAATCAGATCAATTGTCATGGGAAAAGATAATCAACAGGGGCCAACCTCTAAAGGCGCAAATGTGGGAATTATAGGAAGCAGTGATTATAACCGTGCTCCAAAAGAAAAGGAAAGGCGAGCACTCTTGAATGGGACAATAAAAGTTCTCAGCAAACAAATACAAACTATTTTAAAAAAGAGAAAATTTTAGAACTAAAAAAAAAAATAAAATAAAAATGTCATGGGTAGACTCAATAGCAGAATGAAGATGACAAAAAAAAGTCAATTAAGAATTATTAATTAGAAGAATTATTAAGCAACCAAAAAATTTTAGAAAAAATGAACAGAGCCTCAGGGACCTTTTGGACAATATCAATATTTGTCTCATCAGTCTCAAAAAGAGAGGAGAAAGAGATGGGTGCAGAAAAAAAAATTTATAGAACAGCTGCTGAATACTCCCTAAATTTGATAAAAGACACAAACCTACAAATAAAGAACACCCAGCACAAAAAACATGATAGAAAAAACACCAAGGCATATAATAATTAAATTGCTTAAACCAACCCACCCTGTGTGGCTCAGTGGTTGGGCGTCGACCTAGGAACCTAGGAGATCATGACTTGATTCCCGGTCAGGGCACATGCCCAGGTTGTGGGCTCGATCCCCAGTGTGGGGCATGTAGGAGGCAGCTGATCAATGATTGTCTCTCATCATTGATGTTTCTATTTCTCTCTCCTTCTCTTTTCCTCTCTGAAATCAATTAAAAATATATATATACTAGAGGCCTGGTGTACAAAATTTGTGCACTTGGGTTGTCCCTCAGGCTGGCCTGTGCCCTCTCACAGTCCAGGACCCCTCGGGGGATGTCCGACTGATGGCAGGGAATGGGCTTAAGCCGGCAATTGGACATCCTTAGTGCTGTCGCAGAGGCGGGAGAGGTTCCACCACTGCTACTGCACTCGTCAGCCATGAGCCTGGCTTCTGGCTGAGCGGTGCTCCCCCTGTGGGAGTGCACTGACCACCAGGGGGCATCTCCTGCATTGAGTGTCTGCCCCCTGATGGTCAGTGTGCATCACAGCAACCAGTTGTTCCACCATTCAGTCAATTTGCATATTAGCCTTTTATTATATAGGATATATATATATATATATTTTTTTTTTTTACAGGATATATTTTTTTTTAATTGCTCAAACCAGTAATAAGGAGAAAATTTTAAAAGCAGTCAGAGGAAAAGGATCACAATATATTTTGCATTGGGAACAATGTGAGGAACCAGAATGTGGGGCAACAACTTTAAAAAATAGGGGGAAAAGGATTGTCAACCTAGAATTCTATACCTAGCAAATATATTTATTAAAAAAAAAGAAGCTAAAATAATTTTTCTGACATACAAAAGATAAAAAATTTCATCACCAGCAGACCCACAATATAATAAATAGTAAAGAAAGTCCTTCAGGTAGAGAGAAAATGATACCAGATAGAAATCTGGATCTCCACAAAAAGTGAAAAACATTAATGGTAACTACTTAGGTAAATATTTAAGATTATTTTATTATTTATTTAAATCTCTCTGAAAGATACTTTCAATACAAATGACTATAGAGCAGTGATGGCAAACCAATGACACGCGTGTCAGAGGTGACATGCGAACTCATTTTTTTGGTTGATTTTTCTTTGTTAAATGGCATTTAAATATATAAAATAAATATCAAAAATATAAGTCTTGCCCTGACTGGTTTGGCTCAGTGGATGGAGTGTCGGCCTGCGGACTGAAGGGTCCTGGGTTCGGTTCCGGTCAAGGGCATGTACCTTGGTTGCGGGCACATCCCCAGTGGGGGGTGTGCAGGAGGCAGCTGATCTATGTTTCTAACTATCCCTCTCCCTTCCTCTCTGTAAAAAATCAATAAAATATATTTTAAAAATATATATGTAAGTCTTTGTTTTACTATGGTTGCAAAAATCAAAAAATTTCTATATGTGACACGGCACCAGAGTTAAGTTAGGGTTTTTCAAAATGCTGACACGCTGAGCTCAAAAGGTTCGCCATCACTGCTATAGAGTCTAGCATTTATAACAAACGTATAAAGTGTATAACAACACTAGCATAAAGTCCAGGAGGAGAGAAATGGAAGCATACTATTTTAAGGTCTTACACTATCCATGAAGTGGTATATTACATCCTTTCTATGACTTCATTATTATCACTGACGTATGTTAGTGAGGATAGGGTTATAGTCAAAAGTCTTTGATACTCATCTTCAAGAAGATAACAAACCATCCTTTACTTTCCACCAACCAGTATTGCCATCTGGCCCACATTTGTCCATCCTTTACATCAAGGAAACTTCATTGAATCTGCTTTATGGAAACAACTTTATCTGACAAGGTAACAGGAGACTTTAGATCCACTACCAGTTTTTGGTCAACTGTGCTGCTAACCAGTTATCATAACAATTTTCTTTTAAATTAAGATGTTTAACCAAAATTTCCAAGGCCAATCTTTTTTTGAAAATGAATACTTTCTTATAATCAATCTAATACACTACATAAGACAATATTATACTTAAGTCTCTAGTTAATTACACTAAATTTTCAAATGATACCTGTCTGCTGGTATATCTGGATCAGCATATATGGTTATGCCTCTTTTTGTTGGCCAATACACTGAAGATTCAACACACTGTTAAAAAAAACACACACATTATTTTCAGAAAGAGTATATATGCTAGCAAAATATATATTCTTGATGAATCAAAATTCCATGAGGCCCTGGCCAGTGTGGCTCAGTTGGTGGGCATCATCCCATGCACTGATAATTCCATGGGAATAATTCTCATAAACAACCATCCTAGATAATTTTCAGGCAACACAGATATAGAGACAAAAAACTGATTATATCATTGCTATAACCACTATATTGAAATATCCACATAGCAGGAGCTGACATTTCAGTATTTAAAATGTCCTGTAATAACTTCACCTATATTGCCAAAGGGACTAGGACAGATTAGTCTTGAATTTAACTATTATAGTACCCCATAATCCCAGATTTTCACACCGTTGTTAAAACGAGGATAGCCCAGCTACTGATGCTCAGTGGTTGAGCATCAACCTTTGAACCAGGAAATCACAGATTGATTTCCAGTCAGGGCACATGCCCAGGTTGCAGGCTTGATTCCCCAGTGTGGGGTGTGCAGGAGGGTGATCAATGAGTCTCTCTCATCACTGATGTTTCTATCTCTCTCTCCCTCTCCCTTCTTCTGTGAAATAAATAAAAAAAAATTTTTTTTAAATGAGGATAAATACCCCATTTTGTAGAGAGGCCACTAGGCCAAGAACAAAGTGAGAGCTGGCTGGAGTTTTTGTTCTTTTGAAATAGAGCAAACATGCAAACTATAATTCTTCATGAATGAAATTATCATAGCCAAAGATTTTTTAATAGAAAACATTTTTGGTTCCTAGATTTTAAAGAATATTCTAAAATTAACATTATGTGAAATTTATATTTAATGAACATTTAAAAACACAACCTTATTTACATCTTTTAAAGAGATGCACTGTTGTTTCTTTTCAGATATATTTTTAGGTGAACCAGGCAAGGAATCCACTTTACATTTCATAGTTTTATCTGAAAAATAAAAATAGTGATAAAAGGTGTTAATAAATAGGAAATATGACAAAATGGATATTTTAAAAGTATAATAAAATCTTAATGCATAAAATTATTATGGAATAGGGTTTTACATTAAATCTTGAGGGAATTAAATTTTTTTAATTTAAATTCTTTATTGTTTAAAGTTTAAACAATTTATTGTTTATTGTTTAAATATGTCTCCTTTTTCCCCCATTGACCTCTCCCCGGCCACTCCCACCCCCAGCACATGCCCTCACCCTCCTACTGTCTGTGTCCATTGATAATGCTTATATGCATGCATACAAGTCCTTTGGTCGATCTCTTGAGAAAAATTAAATTTAAAAATCTTGTTTCACCCTTCTTATTAGAAAATGCTTTAAAAACTCCTTTACACTGGCTTACTAAGAAGTAAACATAATTTACTGTCGTAACTTGGCATACTCTACTTTCCAAAGAGGGCCAGAACATGTCTCCCAACACACATGCTCTTCTTAAAATGTGATTTTGACACTTCTTCCCATGGAGAGATGGGCTCTATATTCCTTTCTGATGAGCCTGGGTGGGCATGTAAACATGGAAGTGGCGTTATGTGACTTCTAAAGCTACGTCACAAAAATGTCATGTACTGCGACTTGCTCTCCTGGATGCTTACTTCTGAAACCCAGCCACCATAGTTGTGAGGAAAGTCCAAGCAGCCACATGAAAAGGCCACTATAGGTATTTCATTTGACAGCCCAAGTTGAAGTCCCAGACAAAAGCCAGCAGCAACTGCCAGACACGGGACTGAATAAATCTTCAAATGCATCGAACCAGTAAGTTACCACCAGCCTTCGAGTCTTCCCAGCCGAGGTCCCACACACTGTGAAACAGTTAAAGCCTTCCTCCCGTGCCCATACTGAATTCCTGACCACAGAATCCATGAGCATTGTCAAATGGTTGTTTCACATCACTAAATACCATGTTTGTTATATAGCAACAACTGGAACACCAATTATAACTCAGTTCAGCAATGGTTTGAGGTCATAATTGTGCATTTCACTTCTTAATAGCATAATGGATAGAAAACATATTAGAAAACAAGCTGAATTTGAATAATCAGGAAGTGGCAAATTTCTGAAGAAGACTCTTTCAAATATATTTATCCTCCAGGACTAAATCTGACTTTTGACAAGTGACAAAATTTGTTTAGTGAATAATATGGATAATTAAGCTGGGTAAAAATTAAGATGTGACTTCAAAGAAAAGAAAAACAAAAGAAATTCAACCCAGCAATCATTTATTAGAGTATTACCGAGCAATTCTGGGAAAATATTTACTCTAAGTATCAATAAGAGAAACACAAATTAAATTAAAAGGTATATCCCTGGCCGGTTTGGCTCAATGGATAGAGTGTCAGCCCACAGACTGAAAGGTCCCAGGTTGGATTCTGGTCAAGGGCACAAACCTGGGTTTCAGGCTCGATCCCCAGCCCCGGTGAGGGTGCATTCAGGAGGCAACCAATCAATGTGTCTCTCTCACATTGTTGTTTCTTTTTACCTCTCCTCATCCCTTCCACTCTATCTAAAAATCAATGGAAAAAATATCCTCAGGTGAGGATTAAAAGAAAGAAGACAAGGTATACCTTTCACCTATTGAATAACACAGATCACTGAAATCACAAATTAGTTCGATGCCATCATAAATATAAAAAAAACACAGCACCTCACAAAGGTCTGCGAGGAGGTGGAGCGTCACACCAAAGGAAATGGAGATAAAACAGCAGTCTGAAAAGGACTCCTATATAAATCTATTGAAAATATCCAAGAGATAAAAGAAGAAATAGTATACATGAAACAAAACAGATGGATATGAAAAGACAGGCACACATAAAAAGAACCAGTAAAATTCTAAGCAGTAAGAAATAGTCATAAAATTGAAAACTCAAAAGATGAAGTAAATACTGAACTAGAAGCAAAGAGAAAAATGAAAATTTAAAGAATTAAGAAAACTCAGAAATCAGTTCAGAGAAATTAAAAATTCAAAAAAGAAGCTAAAAAAGGATAATAAAAAAACACACTAATTTATGGCTAATAGTTTCAGGAAGAGAGGTAGGGAAAAAATCTTTCAAACATTAAAATTTAATACTTTTCAGAAATTCAGGTTAAACATGAATTCTGTCATTGAAAAATTCCAAGTGTTAATAAATGAATATTGAGACATCACTCATAAATACATTTTAAATAAACTACAGAATATCAAGATAAAGAGAAAATCTAAAAAGTCAATCAACAGGACATAATAAGAACTTACAAAAGAATAATCAACAGAGTCAGAGATCAGAAGAAAATGAAGTACTTTTCTTTTAAAATCCTCACCTGAGGATGTTTCTAATTGATTTTAGAGAAAAGAAGGAAGGGGGAAAGAGAAACATCAAGTTCCTCCCATATGCTCCCTGACTAGGGATCAAACCCACAATCTAGGTTATGTGACCTGAATGGGATTCGAACTAATAGTTAATAGTATAAACTATTAACATATGTACTTGAGGAAAAAGTAAAATAAACCAGTAGTGCAGTAATAATACTAATAATACTAATAACCAACATTTAGTGTTATTGTGTATCAACATATTCTGTATGTTCATTGCAGCATTATTTACAATAGCCAAGATCTTGGAAGCAGCCCAAGTGCCCATCAGTAGGTGAGTAGATAAAAAAGCTGTGGTACACTTATACAATGGAATACACTTATACAATGGAATATTACTCAGCCATAAAAAAGGAAATCTTACCTTTTGCAACAGCATACATATTTAACCACAATAAATGTACATGGCTTTTTACAAAATCATAGGTAGCACTTATAATAGGAGAAATGGAAACTAATCTAAGATACTACATTTTATTTGCAGACTGAAAAAAACTCAAAAGAACTGGAATACTCTCTGCTAGTGAGGCTGTGAGCAAAAATAGGCACAATCTCCCTTGATTCCCAGTGGGACTCCAGGATGATATGGCACCTATGCACAAGCACCTGGAAATCTATATATATATATATATATATGCCTAAGTGACCGTTAAGACCAAACAACCGGAATGACCGGATGACCGGCCGGTAGCTATGATGCACACTGACCCAGACCTTGCTGCTGGGGCCCTGACAGCCACGAATCTGGTTCACCCGCACCCCAGACCCAGAGAGGAGGGAGGAGGGAGCCCAATTCCTCGTGGAATTGGCTGTGGGTTAGCTTGCTGCTGGGTCCAACCTCCCGCAGTCCCTCCCCGCAGCCAGCTGGCCCCCCCATTGCCCTTGATCGTGGGGGGAGGAGCGTCCAGCCAACCTTCCGCAGTCCCTCCCCCTGGCAGGCAGGCCCCCCTGATTGGCCCCAATCGCCAGCCAGGCCGAGGGACCCCACTCGTGCATGAAATTTGTGCACTGGGCCTCTAGTGTTCTAAGAAAATCATCCTTTAACCCAGAAGTCCTTTTTTTAGAAATCTATATAGAAGATGAATCACCACAAATATAAAATAATGTACACTGGGAAAAACTGTATACTCACGTGGAAAAACAAAACAAAACTTTGACTATTTTGTGGGGTTTTTTTCTTTTTATTGCACTTATTTATGGTTAACAAAATTATACAGGTTTCAGGTGCACAATTCCACAACATATCCTCTGTGCACTGTGTGTTCACCACCCAAGTCAAGTCTCCTTCCATCACCATTTATTCCCTTTACCCTCCTCCACCTCCCCACCTCTCCATCCACTCCCGCAGCAATCATCACCCTGTTGTCCATGTCCATGAGTTTTTTCTTTTTGTTTTGCTCAATCCCTCCACCCCCACCACTTAGCCCCGCACCCCTCACCCTGAAGCAGTTAGTCTGCTCTCTATGAATCTGTCTCAATTTTGCTTGTTAGTTCATTTTGTTCATTAGATTCCACATATGAGTGAAATCATATGGTACTTGCCACCTTTCTCTGACTGGTTTATTTCACTTAGCATAATGTTCTCCAGGTCCATCCATGCTGTCACAAAGGGTAACGGTTTCTTCCTTTTTATGGCAGAGTATTATTCCATTGTGTAAATGTACCACAGCTTTTTTTCCACTCACCTACTGATCGACACTTGAGCTGCTTCCATATCTTGGTTATTGTAAATAACACTGCAATACATAGGAGTACAAATATTCTCTTAAATTAGTGTTTTGGGTTTCTTTTGGATAAATTCCCAGAAGTGGAATAACTAGGTCATAAGGCAGTTCCATTTTTAATTTTTATTTAAAAATTAAATAAAAATTTTTTATTTATTGATTGATTTCAGAGAGGAAGGGAGAGGGGAATAGAAACATCAATGATGAGAATCATCGATCAGCTGCCTTCTGCATGTCCCCCAATTGGGATCAAGCCCACAACCTGGGCATGTGCCCTGACTGGGAATCGAACCGTGACCTCCCGGTTCATAAGTCGATGCTCAACCACTGAGCCATGCTGGCCGGGCTAATAATTTTGTTTTTAGATGACAATCCAATAAAATCCCACATTTTGTTTACCATCAACTTTTTCCTTTTCAAAGACATGCATAGTTGATTCTAACACTGATGTAATACAGAACAGGAAATAATGACTGTCCAGCAATCTGGGGCTACCTAAAATAATAATGGGAAGCTGTGCAATGATTAAACACGATGTAAATGCCTTGTATTTTTCCTGTTCCAATGAAAATGAAAGAAATACAAATGGAAAGCATACATTCCCACCAGAGGCTCCTTTTAGCGGGAATTCTCATTCAGGACCCCTACAGGAGGCAGATCAGCATCTGGGGCAGGCCACAGGTGCTATGCCATGTGAACTCCGTACATGAATGACCCACCTAACCAATTCAGTGCGACAGAAATAATGCCTCCCCACGTCACAGAGGAGGCAGTGGGACTGATATTCCGACAGTCTCATGTCAGAGCCCATATCCTTAAACCCATGTTATACTGGACACATTTGACCTAGAGAGAAGTTCAGCCATATATTAAGTGAAAAACACTACACAGAGATATATATGGTAGGATCCCATTACTGGAAAATAAAAAATTGTATTCACGCCCTCACATCTGGAAAACTTTGGGAAAAAAGACTCTAAAATTTTAATAAGTAGGTATAAAAATGACAGGTGTTGGAAATTTTGATTATCTACATTTTTCTATGATGAACATTACCAAACTAATTAAAAATAATTTTAAGTATAGGGAATATTTTAGTTGACTAAAGCTTTAACTTAGTTGAGTAGTTGAGGTTTACTATGAATGCATACGAAATATTATATCCATATAAATATTATATACACCCAATGTAGTAGCAAAATTGTGCAGGAATTACAATGAGCCAAGCATCAAAGATGCTGGCAGATTTCACCCATGTCTAACAATTTCCATTAATTTAGTATCTTGAAGATATGAAATTAAAGACTGGGTATTTCTGTCCTCAGAAAGGTCTCTTTCTTATTTTTATGCATCCTATTAGTTAAAATAAAAATCAATCATATATACATATGTATACTCTGAAGATGAATAATAATCACTGATCTATATCTGGGCTGGAATAAATCAGTCCTATATGAACGAGTGCCTGTTATGCTCCTTACATTATAATCAAATCCTGTAAGTATGGATTGAGCGTCGACTTAATTTGCAAAGCAAATTATCTTTGTCAGCAAGATATCACAAACTGGTTCCATTAAATTAAGAAAAGAGAGAATTACCATAGCCCTTCTAAACAACCCTTATTATCGTCAGACCATTAAGAGGGCTGTTTTATGTTGCCTCTGAAATGAAGCAAGTAGAACTTACCCAGGATAGTAGCTGTTGGCCCTGGATCACTCACAACATGCTTGGGCCGCGAATGCTGGAGAGACTGCGCCAGAAAAGTTAAACCATGTGACTCTGACAGAAATAATATATTTCAGGATTAAAGCATGAAATTAAACCCAAAATACAAATGTGAATTCTTTTACATACTTCTGCTCTTGCTTTTACTAGTGAGGTTATAGGTGACAATACTCCTCAGCAGGGAACTATGTGAAGGACTTAAGAAAACTGAATATAGAAACAGGTGAAGTGTTTCCATTGTCCATGACTGACTTTTCTCATATGTTCATGCTATTAACTAGTTCTTTTAAAAAGTATCTAAAACTGTCAACAAACAAAACCTTGTTTTGGTAGTATCTCTGAAATATGAACACACGGACAGACTCCTGAAAACATAATTCCACGTTAATAAGAAATTGAGAATAGTTTTTTCCTGTGCTCATAAAAACGAACTGTAGCAGCTTTAGGACCTCAAAACTTGTAACACACTCACTAGGTATACAATTAAAATACTAAATTCAGAGTTCAAGTCACTGTCTCTGTACAGAGAATCATCTATACAACAACTTATATCAAAACACTAAAATTCAGGTGGGGAAGGGGAGAACTAGAAGGGGTCAATGGGAGGAAAAGGGAGACATATGTAATACTTTCAACAACAAAGATTAAAAAAACCCACTAAGATCCCTATAAATAAGACAGTTTAAGAAAACATATTGGTGAGGAGCTACTCACTTTCCATTCCTTGAGAATCTTTTCCTTGCAAAAACATTGGCCAAAGACTAAGTGCTGGATTGAGTTTACTGGGAAAGGATGCTGACTTTATACTCAATCTTGGTTTCTCTAAAGATTCAAGGTTTTTATTCTCCATGGGTGATACATAACAAGCGAAGTTCTTTGCAACCAGATCATCATTAACACAAACCTGTACAATTTTAAACATTTTATGAATTATAAGACAAATATAGTCAAATGACTGTTCAGAAAATATTCCAAACCTAACCACAATTTTGATCCTCAGAAAAATAATTTTATAAAACATAATTTGATAGAACTTGATTGCTGCACTGGTAATGATAATGATGAACCAAATATTTCTGACCATTCTTCCTGATAAGAAAAACAGTAAGAATCTGTATGAAATACAAAAACAAAATATTCTTAAAAGCACTGAAGAGCTAACATAACTTTGCCACGCAAAGATCTTGGGTAGGGGGGGAGTAGGGGGAAAGACAAAATACAAAAAACTGATAAATCAGACCTTATCAAAATTTAAAATTTCTGCTCTTAAAAACATACTGTTAAGAACAATCTAAAGATAGGAAGAAAATATTTCTACCCCTGGCCGGTGTGGCTCAGTTGACTGGACATCGTCTGGTGCACCAGAAGGTTCAATTCCTGGTCAGGGCACATGCCCAGGTTGTGGGCTTGATCCCCAGTAGGGGTTGTGCAGGAGGCAGCCGTTCAATGCTTTGCTCCCACATCAATGTTTCTCTCTCCCTCTCCCTCCATTTCTCTCTAAAAAAATTAATAAAATTTAAAAATATATATTTCTAAATAACATATCTGGATGGATGTGTATCGAAAACATATAAAGAACTCTCAAAACTCAATAAAAAGAAAACAAACAACCCATAAAGAATGGGTGAAAGCCCTAACTGGTTTGGCTCAGTGGATAGAGCGTCAGCCTGCGGACTGAATGGTCCTAGGTTCGATTCCGGTCAAGGGCATGTACCTTGGTTGCGGGCACATTCCCAGTAGGGGGTGTTCAGGAGGCAGCTGATCAATGTTTCTCTCTCATCGATGTTTCTAACTCTCTATCCCTCTCCCTTCCTCTCAGTAAAAATCAATAAAATATATTTTTAAAAAAAAAGAATGGGTGAAAGACAGTAATCAAAGCAGCATGGGGAAGCACATTGTGAAGTGTATAATTGACCACTGTGCTGTACATCTGAACTAATGCAATACTGAATATAAACTGTAAAAAAATGTATTTAACAGTATGGTACTGGCATAAAACAGACACATAGATCAATGAAATAGAATAGAGAGCCCAGAAATAAGCCCACACATATATAGTCAGTTAATTTATGACAAAGGGGCCAAGAATATACAACAGGGAAAGGACAGTCTTTTCAGTAAATGGTACTGGGAAAACTGGACCACTACCTTACGCCATACACAAAATTAACTCAAAAATGGATTAAGGACTTGATTATAAGACCTCAAATTATTAAAATTCCTAGAAGAAAAAACCCTACGTGGTAAGCTCTTTGACATCAATCTTGATGATGATTTTTTTAATTTGATACCTGTTGGTATCAAAGAAAACAAAAGCAAAAATAAACAAGTGGTACTACATCAAACTAAGAAGCTTCTGCACAACAAAGGAAACCATCAACAAAATGAAAAGGCGACCTACTGAATGGGAGAACATGTCTGCAAATCATATATCTGATAAGGAATTAGTATCCAGAACATATAAAGAACTCATATAACTCAACAGCAAAAGAACAAACAATCCAAATAAAAAATGGGCAGATGTGAAGACATGTTTCCACAGGAGACAGACAGATGGCCAACAGGTACACGAAAAGATGCTCAACATCACTAATCACAGGGAAATGCAAATTTAAACCACGAAGAGATACCACTATTCATCTATAAGAATGACAATGCAAGTGTTGAAGAAATGTGGAGGAAGTGGAACTCGCAGACACTGCTGAGGGGATTTTAAATGATCAACGACTTTGGAAAACAATTTGATAGTCTTTTTATTTTAATCCTCACCCGAGGATATTTTTTCCATTGATTTTTAGAGAGATTGGGAGGGAAGACAGGAGAGGGAGAGAAAGAAACATCAATATGAGAGACACACATCAATTTGTTGCCTCCAGCACGTGCCCCAATCCTTCGGTGCACAGACTGACACTCTACCAGTGAGCCACACCGGCCAACACTTTGGTAGTCTCTTAATACCTACTATCTAGAAATGAAAGCATAGGTCCACAGGAAGTCTTGTACATGAATATTCATAGCAGTTTTATTTGTAATTACCCAAACTAGCCACAACTCAAATGTCCATCAACAAGTGAACGGATAAACACACAAGTATATCCAGACAAAAACAATTCCTTTGTTTCTGACAATAAAAGGAACAACATGGATGGCATCTATCTATATCCTATCTAATAATAGAGAAACATGGTAATTAGCCATACCTCCGCTATCCTTCCCATTGGCTAATCAGGGTGATATGCAAATTAACGGCCAACCAAGATGGCGGCCGGCAGCCAGGCAGCTTGAAGTGAACAGGAGGCTTGCTTGCTTCAGTGATGGAGGAAGCCAACGTTCCCCACCTGCTGCCGGCCTCTGAGCTTGCAGTTTAAGAAACACTGTTACAAATATAGAAGCTAAAAAAAACCCAGAAACCTGCTTTCAGCCAGCAGGGCTTCAGCCAGCAGGACCGCAACAGTGTTTCAATTATAGAACCCAAACAAAACCAGATCCCTGCTTTTAGCAGCCGAGGCCTCAAGCTGGAGCCGGCCTCAGAGCTAAAGCTGGCCCAGAATAAAAAATAAATAAAAAAAGGAGCGGTTGGGAGCTTCTCACCCAGACTGGCCAGGCACCCCAGTGGGGACGCCCACCCTGAAGGGGGTGTGGCCAGCTGCAAACAGCCATCATCCCCTCATCCAGGCTGGCCAGGCACCCAAGCGGGACCCCCACCCTGATCCGGGACACCCTTCAGGGCAAACCAGCCGGCCCCCACCCGTGCACCAGGCCTCTATCCTATATAGTAAAAGGGTAATATGCCTCACATCCTGGGATCAGCGGAGCAGTGAGGCCTCCTGGCACTGGGATCAGCGGAGCCGCGAGGCCTCCTGGCCTGGGATCAGCGGAGCCACAAGGCCTCCCGAACCCGAGATCAGCAGAGCCACGAGGCCTCCTGGCCCTGGGATCAGCGGAGCAGTGAGGCCTCCCGGCCTGGGATCAGCGGAGCCACAAGGCCTCCCAAACCCGGGATCAGCAGAGCCGTGAGGCCTCCTGGCACTGGGATCAGCGGAGCCACGAGGCCTCCCAGCACCAGGATCAGCGGAGCAGCGAGGCCTCACTGCCCCGGTGTCAAGCGGAGCCACAAGGCCTCTCAGCACTGGGATCAGCAGAGCAGCGAGGCCTCCTGGCCCCTGGAGCAGCATGACAGGGGGCAGCGCCCAAACCCCCTGATCGCCCTGTGGCTGTGTGTGACATGGGGCGGGGTCACAACCTCCCTATCTGCCCTGCTCTGTTCGTGACAGAGGAAGGCACCCCAACCCCCTGATCGGCCCTGCTCTGTGCCTGATAGGGGGGAGCTCCCCAACCCCCTAATCAGCCCTGCTCTGTGTGTGACAGGGTGCGGCGCCCCAACCCCCTCATGGGCCCTGCTCTGTGTGTGACGGGGTGGAGCCGCAACCTCCCCATCGGCCCTGCCCTGAGTGTGACAGGGGGAAATGCCCCAACCCCCTGATCAGCCCTACTCTGTGGGTGACAGGGGGTGGCGCCCCAACCCCCTGATCCACCCTGCTGTGTGTGTGACAGGGGGTGGCGCTGCAACCTCCCCATTGACCCTGCCTTGAGTGTGACAGGGGGCGGCGCCCCAACCCCCCAATCGGCCCTACCCTGAGCGTGACTGAGGGTGGAATCGCAACCTCCTGATCGGCCCTGCTCTGTGCATGATGGGGGGAGCTCCCCAACCCCCTGATCGGCCCTGCTCTGTGTGTGACAGGGTACAGAGCCCCAACCCCCCTGATGGGCCCTGCTTTGTGCGTGACAGGGGGCAGCGCCCCAACCCCCTTATCAGCCGGCTCTGTATGTGACAGGGGTGGCGCCACAACCCCCCAATTGGCCCTACCCTGAGAATGACTGAGGGTGGCATCGCAACCTCCTGATCCGCCCTGCTCTGTGCATGACAGGGGGTGGCGCCCCAACTCCCCAGTCGGCCCTGCTTTGAGCCCGACCAGGGGCTGCAGGGCAGGCACCTAGGGATTGGGCCTGCCCTCTGCCACCCGGGAGCGGGCCTAAGCCAGCAGGTCGTTATCTCCCGAGGGGTCCCAGACTGTGAGAGGGCACAAGTGGGGCTGAGGGACACCCCCCCCCACCCGCCAGTGCACAAATTTTTGTGCACCGGGCCTCTAGTATATATATAAAGACCCAGGGGCCGTCACATCCGAAACACCCGAACGGATGACCGAACAGGCTGAGTGGGGTGACAAGGCTGGCAGGGGGGTGAACCCCAACCACCGGCCTGACCCCCAGCCTCCATGGCGCACCCCGGTCGGCAGGGGGTTTACTGAGGGAAACCCAACCACCTGCCCCCCAGGCTCCATGGGGCACCCACCCCGTTAGGGGGGGGCAGTGAGGGGCGCCCAGCCCGCCGGGGGGGGGCCAGTTGGGGGCGACCAGGTTGGTGGGGGGGGCAGTTGGGGGAAACCAGGCAGGCAGAGGGGGGCTGTTGGGGACGATCAGGTTGGCAGGGGGCAGCAGTTAGGGGCGATCATGTCGGCAGGCAGAGGGGGTTAGGGGTGATCAGGCTAGCAGGGGGGCCAGTTAGGGGCGATCAGGCAGGCAGGCAGGTGAGCAGTTAGGAGCCAGTGGTCCTGGATTGTGAGAGGGATGTCTGAGGGGTCCTGGATTGGAGAGGATGCAGGCTGGGCTGAGGAGACCGCCCCCCTGCACAAATTTCGTGCACTGGGCCTCTAGTCTACACTAATAAAAGACAAAGATGCTAATTGACCATACCTTCATTATGCTCATCAGCCAATCAGAAGAGTATGCAAATTAACCCAACAGAGATGGCCGTTAAATTTGCATACTGCAGGCAGGGCGGGACAGCGCCATCCGCCCCCTGCCCCGCCGCCATCCGGGCCTGCTATCTGCAACCCGACCAGGGTGACGGGGCGGGATAGCAGCGATTCGCCGGCCCGCCGGTCCCGTGTGTGACCCGACCCGGAGCGAAGACTGAAGACAGTATAGAAGGAAGCCAAGCACTGCAGAAGGGAGCAAAATGGCAGAGAAGGGAATGGAGACAGGAGCGGACACGGAAGGGAGTGAGGCAGCAGAGATGGGATGGAGCAAAGTGGCGTAGAAGGGAGGGAGCGAGGCAGGGGAGAAGGGAGGGAGTGAAGCGGCGGAGAAAGGAGGGAGCCGAGGTGGTAGAGACGGGAGGGAGTGAGGCAGCGGAGAAGGGAGTGAAGCCCACTGCAGGCTTTGCTTCCTTCTCTGCTTCACTCCGGCCTCAGGAAGCCCTATTCTTGCAGGAATAGGCCCGAGGAAGCGCTATTCTTGCAGGAATCTTCCTGCACCGGGCCTCTAGTCTTAAAATAATTCTGTTGAGTGAAAGAAGCCAGGCAAACAAAAGAACACGCTGGGACACATCCTTGTGCTTCCTTTGAAAGCTGGAAACTGCTGCCCCTATATTTCTCTTTCTGGCAAATATGACCTCTTGCACCCTCTGTTAGTTCTCTCTGCTAAGCTTGCCTCCTATACTTCACCACCTTAAAGTAAGAGCAAGTTATCATCCACACACAACCATACCCAGTGAGAAAGAGAAACCTACTCTTGAAAACAAGAAGAAAGAAGCAGGTTAGTAGAGAACTTGCTTAAAAGATGTGTTTACAAGACTGTTCCCATAGCCAACATTTTGGCATTTTCAGGTAGTAAAATAAGTAATGAAAAGTCATAGGTAAAATAAACAAGGATGTGGGGAACCTAAATACAATACAAAAAGTAACAACTTCATTAAAAACAAGTAAAATAATCACACTGAAGAGGTTAGGGGGAAAAGAACAAACCTGGGTTACTTTGGAAAAGAGTTTGGGCTGCATTCTGTAAGGTTAAAGATAAATTTATTTTTCACGGGAATGTGGGTCAGCAATTCTAAATCACTTTATGTGAATACTAGGAGACAGATGTCAAGAATGAGGAAAGGGGCCCTGGCCGGTGTGGCTCAGTTGGTTGGAGCGTCGTCCCATACACCAAAGGGTGGTGGGTTCAATTCCTGGTCAGGGCATATGCCCAGGTTGCAGGTTCCATCCCAGGTCCGTGCATGTGCGGGAGGTAAATGACCAGTGTTTCTCTCTCACATCAATGTCTCTCTCTCTCTCTCTCGCCCCTTCCTCTAAAAATCAGTATTTAAAAAATTTTTTTGAAGAATCAGGAAAGGGGAGATGTTGGATTGAAGGTACTTAATATATGTACAGAAACAAATGGAGATGTATGTGTGCATTGGTTAGCATATAGACAGATACAGGGTATCCCCCAAAAATGTATACATACTTTAATAGCTGATAGTTCAATTTCAAAAATGAAATGTATTGTAATAAACACTGCCTTTATAATTATTCAAAGGGTGTGTATACATTTTTTGGGACACCCCATATTTCCTGTCTGCTGAGAGGGTCTACAATCAATGACAGCGCAGTAGCAATGAGAATACCTAGTGCCCTGATCCCGATATCTAAATACTATTTGTCAATAAAAGGAACTTATTGGAGCAGTGGTTGAGTCTAGGCCTGAAACTGGAAAATGACCAAATTAACCAGGAGTATCTTGTAGTAGAGAAAGTAGGGAATTTTCAACAATGATGGAGAATATAAGGCACTTTAAAAAAGCTCCTAATGGACAAATCTGTGACAATTTGAGCAAGAAAATGATAGTAATGGATTATATCACCCAGAGTAAAATAAATACCCAGGAGTCCATACTAAGATAAATTATTGAATCAGTTAATAAATGGGGGAGAAGGAACAGTTCTTCCTTACATAATTATAATTAAAAATGTAGAGCCCTGGCCAGTTTTCTCACTGGTTAGAGCGTCGGCCTGCAGACTGAGGGGTCACAGGTTCAATTCCAGTCAAGGGCACCTTACCTTGGCTGCAGGTTCAATCCCCGGCCCCCCTTGGGCATATGCGGAAGGCAAACAATCAATGTGTCACTTTCACATGTCTCTCTCTCTCTCTCTCTCTCTGCCCCCTCCCCCTTCCCTCCTACTCCTCCCTCCCATCTACTCTCTCTAAAAACAAAGTAAATGGAAAAACATCCTTGGATGAGGATTTTTTTTAAAAAGTAAAAGGTATGATGGAAATGGGCAAATACCACAGAAATAAGTTTTGCAGGCAAGAATCACTGATAGATATTTGCACAGTCTCAAAGTATTACCCCATAAGATGCTTAATCATTTCAAAAGGAAAAAGATAGTAACTCTTTAAAGCAGGGGTCCTCAAACTTTTTAAACAGGGGGCCAGTTCACTGTTCCTCAGACCGTTGGAGGGCCGGACTATAGTTTAAAAAAAACTAGTCAGCTGCTAAGCAACAGGCAGCAGCGGCAAAAACACCCGGCGGGCTGGATAAATGTTTTCGGCGGGCCGCATGTGGCTCGCGGGCCATAGTTTGAGGACCCCTGCTTTAAAGGAAAAACCTAGCAGATACCCAGCTGATCAAGGTAAACATGACTAGTGATGAGACATATCAACATCATGAACCTTCTCATATGATGCACTAAGAAGGGTTCAATCTCACTTTTGCAGCATCTTTGCTAAAAATTTAGAAACTCTGCCTGGCCAGTGCTGTTTAGTGGTTGAGTATCAACCTATGAACCGGGAGGTAATGGTTCAATTCCTGGTCAGAGCACATGCTCGGGGTTGTGGGCTCGATCCCGAGTAGGGGGTGTGCAGGAAGCAGCCAATCAATGTTCTCTCTCATCACTGATGTTTCTATCTCTTGCTCCAACTCCCTTCCTCTTTGAAATCAATAAAAATATATTTTAAAAAAATTTTTAGAAACTCAATCTAAACATGAGGAAACATCCTATATAATAAAAGGCTAATATGCAAATCAACCGAATGGCAGAACCACTGGTCATTATGATGTGCACTGACCACCAGGGGGCAGACGCTCAATGCAGGAGCTGCCGCCAGCCTGCAGGCCTTGATCTCCTGATTGAGGCCTGCCAGCCAACCTCTCGGTCCCTTCCCCCAGCAGGCAGGTGCCAATCACCCAATGGGGAATGGGGAACCGGGGGTGGGTGGCCGCAGATGTGGGCAGTGCCAGGCCAAGGCCCCTGCCCACCAGTCGCCCCACACACAGAGGGTGACCAACGGCGGGGGGGGCAGGGCTGGCGAGTGGGCGGGAACGGCCAACCTCTTGGTCCCTCCCCACCAGCCAGCAGGCTCCAATTGCCTGATGGCAAACAGGGAAACCGGGGGTGGGTGACGGCGGAGGGTGGGGCCAGCTGCCAGCAGCCAGGGAAGATGGCCTGATCACAGGCCAGGCCTAGGGAGAGCATTATGCTAAGAGAAATAAGCCAGTCGGAGAAAGATAAATATCACATGATCTCACTCATTTGTGGAATATAATGAACAACATAAACTGATGAACAAAAATAGATCCAGAGACACAGAAGCATCTAACAGACCGTCCAACGTCAGAGGGAAGGCATGGGAGGCTGGGAGCAGGGGAAGTAAGAGATCAACCAAAGGACTTATATGCATGCATATAAGCAGAACCAATGGATGCAGACAGTAGGGGGATGAGGGCCGGTGCTGGGAGGCGGGAGCCGGCGGGGACAGGTCAATGGGGGGAAAAGGAGACATCCGTAATACTTTTAATAATAAAGAATTTAAATTAAAAAATAAAATAAAAATTGAGTGACATTCCACAAAATGACTAGCCAGTACGCTTCTTAAATGTCAAGGTCTTAAAAGATGTGGAAAGACTGAAGAACTGTCTCATCAGACTGAGGAGACTAGAGACATGACAACCAGATACAAGTGGGATCCTCGATCAGATCCTAGCACAGAGAAAGGAAATTAGTGGGAACACTGGCAAAATTCAAATAAGGTCTGTAGATTTTCTAAAAATAGTATTTTTATCAGTGTTAATTTTCTGGTTTTAATCACTGAACCCCTGGTTTGTATGGTTAACGTTAGGGGAACCCAGGTAAAGCATATACACAACTCTGCACTGTTTACATCTTGTCTGAACTGTAAAAATATTTCAAAATAAAAATTTTAAATAAATCTGTGATTTAGATGGCCTCCGTGGGCCCCAAGCAGTCTAATCAGCATCTCCAGCTACCGCCACACAAGGTGCTGAGCTGCACCCTGTACCACCCTTCATAAAGGCGACCAAATGCTAACAGCCTATAACTGGAGCAGGGCGCTCACATGTGATGCCCACTTTCTTTCTACTTCTGTTATCTGAATTTTTTTATTTTTTTTAATCCTTACCCGAGGATATTTTTCCACTGATTTTCAGAGAGAGTAGAAGAGAGAGGGAAAGACAGAGAGAAAAATCGATGTGAGAGAAACACATCGATTGGTTGTCTCCTGCATGAGCCCTGACTAGGGCCTGGGCCAGGGAGGAGCCTGCAACCGAGGTATGTGCCCTTGACTGGAAGTGAACCCAGGACCCTTCAATCCGCAGGATGACACTCTATCCACTGAGCCAAACCAGCCAGGGCTGTTATCTGAAGTCTCTACAATGTGCACATATTATACATGATGAGAAAATTGTGGGGTGGGAGAAGCAGTGAACTATACCAAATGTATGTATTTATAAAAATTATGTCCTCTTATAAGGAAATAACATTTCATACTCATCACAATAGGAATAATTTCTTGTCAATTACTAAATAAAATGCTGTCTAAATAAAACACTAAAGTAATTATTGAAGTAATTAAAAGAAGAAACAGTCCTGCTAACTTCTGATCTAAGCCAGACCTTGAAAGATTAAGAAAATTTCTATATTGTGTGAATGACATTGTTTCCTTTGGTGTTTATTCTGTTTTATTAAAATAAGATTTTTAAACAATGGTAAACTATTTTTAAAATACAATTTTTTCACTTACTTTTTCATTTTTTATAGTTACATAAAGATAAACCTCAAAAGTATCATCTTCTACAGCACATAATTTGGCTTCCACCTGGGTAGTTGCTAAGTGGCATAAATGAAAACATTAATTAGCTGATATCAAAAGTATATTTGAAACAACTGGACTATTTCCCACCTATTAATCTCTGCTAACCACTTCTGATTACCCAGCACCACCTGCCCGACAGCTTCCCCTGCAGGTGGGTCTGAATGCAGGAAGGTCTGCAGGTGGGCAAGTCGAGGGGAGGCTCTCCTGGCAGGCAGGCAGCCTGTGTCCTGTCCCCATCCACCCACAGTCTTTCATCCGAGTCCACCTTCCAAATGCCCACAGAGCAGAGCTCTTGACCCTCTCGGAGACTTACTAATCCAGCAGCTCCATGTATGGGTACCTAGTGGACACCATGCTAAGTCCTTTACAAACGTATTTCACTTCACTCTTACCATAACCTTTGAGAGTCACTGTACACGTGACAAGACCAGGCTCAGCGAAGGCTCCACAGCAGAAACAGGGCAGTATTCAAACCTAGGCACTCTGCCTTTCCAACCTCTGTCTCCCAGCATTCCCCACTAGGCTCACAAGGACCGAAACTCCAAAACCAGCAACCCTCACCCCAACCTCCGATTTCTCACAGCATCTGGCTGTTTCTTTAACAGAGGGGTGGGGAAGATCTGGCTCGAGGGCCATGTAAGGCCCATGAAATCACTTGGTCTGGCCCTGCCAATGCATTAGGGGTGAGTTAATTAAATGTTTGACCAAATGTAGCAGGCTAATTTTTAAGTTGGTAACTGTGTATGGCCCGAGAATGATGTCAAATGGCCTTTGACAGAAAAAAGGTTCCACACCCTGCTTTAACCGGACAGTGGGGCAGCAGAGGAGAGAGGCCAGGACCTCAACAGGTACAGGCAGCACTCCAAGAGCTCACACCCACTACTTCTCAAAACAGCCCTCGGAGGCGGGCACAGTTATGTGGCTCTTGGCTGCCAGGGGTTTGGACAGCTGCCACAAGTGAGTCTCCATATCATTGCTACACTCACCAATATGAAGAGAACACACTGCAAGGTGCTCTGAGACAGTCTATACCTCTTAAATTAGCAATAATGATTACACAATAACTTGAGCTTTTAATCAACTGCTGGTTCAGTAACATGCATGTAAATTTATTTTGCAGTGCTTCAGCTTCTATGCAAACTAAGAGGCAGGCATTGTTTCTGTGTAAGCATCTCTTACCCATACAGCCTCTTTCTAACCTCACCTCTCAATTACTGATGTCCACATTCACCCCCTAAAATTCCAGGACTGCAGCGTCACTGTGTCATTGGGGTAGAAGAAGCTCCAGATAACTTATGAACCCATATGAGGAGGGCCAAACAGCTAAGCACGCACATCTCAACCCCCCCCCCCCACCCCAATTGAAGGTTAAACCACCTTGGGTGTCAGTTCAACACGGGCTGCAGTGATGACACACTTGCCTTACCTTTCAGGATGTTCTGAAAGTACTGAATAGCTGCAGTGTCCCACTTCTTGGCGGGTCTGGAACGGTGAACAGATGCAACGTCATTAAATAGAAATCTGAGGTTAGTACACTAACATCATTTTGTAACACTCACTGGGTATTTCCGACATTACGTAATGGCATATGATGCAGGTAATGGGGACGGCCCCAGCTGCAGCCTGCAACGGGCTCCTCACCGCTGCCGCCTGCACCCGGGCAGAGACTGACAATGGGCCTGCCATCGTCTGTCCCAACACCGTTGCCCCCAGTTACCTGGGACATAGCTGCCTCCCCAACAGAACACAAGCTCGCTGGGGCAGGAATCCTGAGTGTGCAGTGCTCAGCACAGGCTGGCACACAGCAAGGCCTCCAAACATGTTGGCCAAACCAACATTCTGAGAGTGGCCACTGTTGTCTCATGCTACTCCTCACTCAGCCGCCACCCTCTCACTGTCGCCCATTTTCTATCACCTTGCCTTTTCCTATGCTTTGGAAAGAAAATCGCAAAAGACTTCTGGTCAAGATGGTGGCGTAGGTAAACAGTACTCACCTCCTCCCACAACCACATCAAAATTACTAAACTACAGAACAACCATCATTCAGAACCAACTGAAATCTCACTGAAACGGAAGTCCTACAAGAAAGGATATAAAGAAGAAGCCACATCGAGATTGGTATGAGGGACAAGACTGGTAGGAGAGGTGGACCCAGGGAAGTGAAAGGCCCCACACCCAGGTGTGGCACATAAAAATCAGTAGGGAAGAATAGGGGGATGGGGGGGAAAGGTGAAGGGATTAAGAAGTACAAACTGGCCCAGTCTGGCATGGCTCAATGGTTGAGCATCAACTTATGAACCAGGAGGTCACAGTTTGATTCTCAGTCAGGGCACATGTCAGGGTTGTGTGCTGTGGGCTCGATCCCCAGGGCGGGGCATGCAGGAGGCAGCTGATCAATGATTCTCATCATTGATGTTTCTATCTCTCTCTCCTTCTCCCTTCCTCTCTGAAATCATTAAAAATATTTTTTAACAAAAAAGTAATATTAAAAAAAAGAAGTACAAATTGGTTGTTACAGAATAGTCACAGGAATGTAAAGTACAGCACAGGGGATATAGTCAATAATATTGTAATAACTAAATATGGTGTCAGATGGGTGCAAGATTTATTGAGATGATCACTTAAATAATCTAATCACGGTGATGTACACCTGAAACTAATACAATATATACTAACTGTAATTGAAAATAAAAAAATTTTTTAAAAAAAGAAAATTGCAGGAAAAGCTGTAGGCAGAGGAAGATCAGGAGAAGCCAATATTTGGAAGCAAGGAACAAAAATAAAATAAGGTTAGAGTGAAATGTTTTGTTTCTCCACTGGTTTTATTTATCAGAGATGCCACCACCATCCTCCCAGGGTTGTTTTAAAGATCAAATGAGGTAATGTACATAAGCACATAGCCCAGTGCCTGGACTAAAATATTATTTTTCTTTTTACTAAGAAAGACATTAAGCATATTACTTCAAGAGAATTACAAAGTGTTTCTAAAAGAAGGCTAAATAAATAAAAGACAGTGGTTCTAGGTGTGCTCTCCCTCCCAGGAGCCTGTGCCGTTCCCTTTCCACACTCATTCCCTACAAGCATGCATCCTCTAAACTCTAAGGGACCGTCCCCACGAGGCTTGCAACCAGGAAGTAATGGGCAGCAGCATCTTGTCCTGGGCTAACCCGCTGACCCTGTCCCCAAGACTCCCTTTCTAAAATTAAAAAAAAGAATTGATGTTTCTATCTCTCTTCCCCTCTCCCTTCCTCTCTGAAAAGAATAAAAATGTATTTTAAAATATATCATTTTCACCCAGCCATCAAGCAAAAATGAAAAATCCTGATGATATCCAGTGTCGTGTGGGGAAAATAGCACTTTCTACACCCAATTACAGAAATACAAATTACTAGTCATTTTGAAGGGAAATTAAAATCTATAAAAACTGCAATATGCATATTGAGACACATTCTAGATGAAGGGTACTTGTCAAAGAAGGTAATCAAAACCCAGTAAGATCAGTTACTTAAAGCCTTCGCCTACACTGAGGGTATCCTGGGGCTGGGTGTGTCCGAGGCTGGGAGGGTCCCTAAGGAGCCCAGTATGCTGGGAGAGGGGTAATGCAGAGGGGGGAGCAGACTGCCTCTGAGGGAGAGCTGAGCACGGACAGGCAGGCACCCAAGTCACCCAGGAGGGTGAGCAGCTACTGATCTGAAAGGACAGGGGAGGCTGGGGTTGCTTGGGCAGCGTGGCAGGGTGCAACGGCCTCAGCAGAGACAAGCTGGCTTGGTATCTTCTTAGTGCAGCTTCCAAGGCCAGCACAAGAGTGATGCATTCACCATTTCAAGGGGACTGTCGGTGATGGGAGTTGGAGGGTCTCCATAGACTCCACGAATGTTGTGCTGTTTCTGTAGCTTTTCTTCCCACAATGCCACAGTTCTGGAGGAAGAGGGAGAAGGAGCCCCAGGTGGGAGGATGGACCTCAGGTAGTCTTGTTCAAGACTGCAAAGATCACAGCCACACCCCCAACACAGTACTGCCCGATGCAGGGACCTGTCCTGTACAAACAGTGGCAATGGGGCCAAATACTAGGGAGAAAAGGCAAAGATGGGGTGCATGTGTGTGACATGTGTGCGTATGTGTGTATACCTCTCTACATCTATATGTCTTATACGGATGTATCTATATTTTGATGAAAATGTACAGTGCAAAATGGTTTGGAAACAATCTAGCTGGGTATCAAAAGAGGAATGGTTAAATACAGCAAGTATGCCATTATATTTACCCATGAAAAAGACTGAAAGCAGAAGAGGGTACAAAGAGTTTCAACATACATTAAGTTAAATTTGCAAATAAGACAGTAGGTTGTAATTTGCATAAAAGCTCCATGTAAATGAATATGTATAAAAGCCCTGAAAAAGGTCTGCAAGTTCAGAGCCTAAACAGGTCACAGAGGCCTCCCAGGAGAGAGGAAGTGAGGCTGGAGAAGAATGCAACCGACTTTTCTTTTAATGCTCCATGATCCTACATGTTGTACCCTTTACAGTTATTACTTTTTTAAATATATTTTTATTGATTTCAGAAAGGAAAGGAGAGGGAGACAGAGATAGAAACATCAATAATGAGAAAGAATCATTGATCGGCTGCTTCCTACATGCCCCACCCTGGGGATCGAGCATACAACCCGAGCATGCGACTGACCGGGACTCGAGCCGTGACCTCCTGGTTCATAGGTTGACCCTCAACCACTGGGACACACAGGCCAGGCAGTTATTACTTTCTGTAAGTGGGGGGAAAAGGGAAGCCGAAAAGCAGAGTTCAGACCCTACTCTAACTCCAACTGCAGCCGCTGTAGGTGGAGTTGCCCAGGGAATTCTGCTCATGACCAGGTTTGACACACACGGACTCAGAAAGTATCTCCTGAAGAAAAAAGAGACCCTTGAGATCGCTTCGCACTTCTCAAGAGGAATTAGTCTCACAGATACATCAGACACTCAGTTAAGTCTTTCACCAATAAGTTAACATGTTAGAAGATGTACTTACACAATTTTAGCACTGTCTTCACAAAAGTCAAAGTGTAATGTAACAGGTTTTGTACAATACAGTCTGAATTTTTTCGCTCTGTAGGGAAGCTGCATAAAAGTTTCTACTGCAACTCGGATGCTTTAACAGTGAAACAGAAACAGTTCAATTATAAAGAAAATTACACATAACATTTCTTTAAAGTACACCAATATACCTAATACACAACATAAAAACAAAACACAAAAACCAATTATTTCTGTTTCTAATATAGTCACTAACAGCAAGAAATACTTGGAGACATTTGCCAAAGTTGACAAACAGTGGTTCTTGGACGGGGGAGAGGAGGGATCGCACTCTTTTTATGTATAAAGCACAGATATACATATAGTACATACATAGGTATTCAGTATAACTCATGTTAAAATTTCATGGCGTGGCCCGGCTCAGTGGATGGAGCATCTTCCCATGGACCAAGAGGTCGCTAGTTTGATCCCAGGTCAGGACACATTGCAGGCTCAATCCCCAGTAAGGGGCATGCCGGAAGCAGCCCATCGATGTTTCTCTCATCAGTGTTTCTATCTCTCTCCCCCTCTCTCTTCCTCTCTTTGTAAAATCAATAAAAACATATACTTTTTAAAAATTTCATGGCATGGGAGTGGGGAGGGATTAGAAAAATGTCTCGTGAGGCTCCTTACATTGAAAAATAATGATCAAACTTGGGAGCAAATTTTATTTAAGATTTTTAAGTATCAGCCCTGGCCAGTAGCTCAGTTGGTTGAGCTTCATCCTGATACACCACGGTTGCAGGTTTGATCCCTGGTCAGGGCACAAAAAAGAGTGGACCAATGGTCCTGGCTGGTTTGGCTCAGTGGATAGAGCGTCAGCCTGCGGACTGAAGGGTCCTGGGTTTGATTCCGGTCAAAGGCACATGCCTGGGTTGCAGGTTTGATCCCCAGTAGGGGGCATGCAGGAGGCAGCCAATCAATGATTCTCTCTCATCACTGATGTTTCTATCTCTCTCTACCTCCTCCTTCCTCTCTGAAATCAATAAAAATATATCTTAAAAAGAAAAAAACAGTGGACCAATGAATGCATCAGTAAGTGGAACAATAAATCAATGTCTGTCTGTGTATCTCTCTGTCTCTCCTTCCCTCTCTCTCAAATCAATAAATTTTAAAAAATTTTAAAGATTTTAAGATATTTAAGTATCAATTTCAATACACAACCAGAATTACCTTAACGTTTCTATAAAAGAGAAGTTTTCATAATTAGTGTTAGCCAACTCTGCACAAAAGAGCTGAAAGGACTGAGATTTGATAAGTTGCTCAACATTTTTTATTTCCCTTCTTCCAGGTAAATGACAGACTTGAACACACCATTTCGACACACACGGGTTATGATGATGCCACACGGACAGGCTAGGCACCTTTTGTCTCAGTTCAGAAAACGGTGGTGGCATTAACTGCCCCTCAAAGCCTCCTTGTGCTCTATTTAATCATATGATTCTCTTGCCCAAAACAAACTAAACTTAAAATTCAAAACACTAAAAGAAAATATCCCCCAAAAGTTCAACAACAGGTGTGTGAGTTGTTGTTTTTTAACAATTACAGCTATAAAGGTGCAAACCACAAGCTGGAAATGCATCCTTTTTCTTAAACATCTGCAAATTTCCTTCTGCCATGGCATTCTTAAGATAATTCAATCAGATAAGCCTCTTATTTCGGTTGAAATCTATTTGGTGTTACTCTTTTGGAAGAGTCACATTTATTTATTAAACTGACATCCTCTTACTCTGGGATGGGGAACCATGGAAAAATTACCACAAACACTTATTGACAGTATTTTCTCATGAACTGTGACATGTGGCCCTAGAATCAGTGAGGGTTCTTTCTGGCCAGGGGCACCTGGGAGATGCAGAGCACCTGCCCTTTCCAGGAAAGGAGGTGGCAGGAAGCTGGAGCTGCCTACTGAGTCTTCATTCTGACCACTTGCTCCGACACTCACTGCCATGCAGCATTGAATGGAACCTGACGTCTACAAGAAGGCTTCCCTTCTTGAAGCTAAAAAAAAAAAAAAAAACAACCGCCCTGACCGGTTTGGCTCAGTGGATAGAGCATCAGCCTGCGGACTGAAGAGTCCTGGGTTCGATTCCGGTCAGGGGCATGTACCTTGGTTGCGGGCAAATCCCCAGTTGGGGGTGTGCAGGAGGCAGCTGATCTATGTTTCTCTCTCATCGATGTTTCCGGCTCTCTATCCCTCTCCCTCCCTCTCTGTAAAAAATCAATAAAAAATATATTTTTTAAAAATCCTCCAGCTTACAACCTCTATCCCCTTACTTTGAACACTGGCACGCTCCTTTAAAACTGGCATTTGTCTCCTTAAACAGCATAAGGCAAAAAAAGTCATACGTACTTTTTTGATTTCACTGGAATGTACTTGGCAAAATCCACAAGGAAACACTCTGCCAGGTAATGATCTGCTGAACACACGATTGACTTAATGACAGCCCTGCACCAGCACTTGAGTTCCTGACAATAAACCACACAAACCTACAAAATGAAAACTTCCGTGTTAACATCTCTAGCCATATAAGGGGAGCCTAAAGGTCCTCTCAAAATCACCTCAGCCTACATTTCACCTTCAGAAGAGAAAAGAGATTCAAGGAGGCTGGCCCTGCCTCAGCTGGACACCTCTGGTCAGTGAAAGAATCTAAGTCAAGAACACAGGACACTGAATTCTACTTCGCTCTTTTTTTTCTACAATCCTTTTGACTGCTTAAAGGACAATTTAAAGAAAGGCTTCTTAAATCAAAGCTTCAGAAACGAAACCTCAACCCCAGGTCATCTTCCCCATGTTCCTCCCGTGGCTTTCACTGCCCTCTGACACTTGTTTACTACCTCACACTCCTGTAAGTCAGCTCTGTGATGTGGATTTTTGTCTGTTTTGTTTATTGCCATCCTCCCAACACCTAGAACAGTGTTTGGCCTGTACTAAAGTCTTCAAAATCGACTTGAGTGACTTGTTGAGTGACTTGTTGAGTGGCACAGTTGCTTGGAGCATTATCCCATGCATCAAAAGGTTGTGGGTTCTATCCCTTAGTCAGAGGGTATAAAGGAGGCAACCAATTGAATTTTTTCTTTCTCTCTCTCTCCCTCCCTCTTTTCCTCATTCCCTCCCTCCCTTCCTCTCTCTCTAAAAATCAAGTTTAGCTCAGCTGGTGTGGCTCAATGGTTGAGCATTGACCTATGAACCAGGAGGTCATGGTTCGATACCCGGTCAGGGCACATGCCCAGGTTGTGGGCTCAATCCCCATTGTGGGGCGTGCAGGAGGCAGCCAATCAATGATTCTCTCTCATCACTGATGTTTCTATCTCCCTCTCCTTTCCTCTCTAAAATCAATAAAAATTTAAAATTTAAAAATCAATTTTTAAAAATATCCTTGGGTGAGGATTAAAATAATAAAAATACATTTTTAAAAAATTTTCTGTAGTCCCCTTTTAGGGGAACTACCCTGCTGAATTGTCAGGCGTGGCATCCTGACTGTCCCACAAGACTGCCAGGCCACAAGCGACTCAACGGCAATCCACAGACAGGCAAACCAAATATAAAGTGGCCCAGTGGGGCCAAAACCGGTTTGGCTCAGTGGATAGAGCGTCAGCCTGTGGACTGAAAGGTCCCAGGTTCGATTCCAGTCAAGGGCATGTACCTGGGTTGCGGGCACATCCCCAGTAGGAGGTGTGCAGGAGGCAGCTGATCGATGTTTCTCTCTCATCGATGTTTCTGACTCTCTATCTCTCTCCCTTCCTCTCTGTAAAAAATCAATAAAATATATTTTAAAAAAAAAAAAAGTGGCCCAGTGGGGACAGCTGTGCCCAACAAGGAAGAAGTGGGCCAACTGAGAATCCTGCCCTCAGGAATTAAAGTTGGAAAACCTAGTGCAGCCATTCTGCAAAACTCAAATAATTCAAGACATATTCTGCCAAAGGATGGAGGTTACTTCCGTTTAATTCTTAAGTCAAAGTAACTTGTAGGAATGGTTTGAATAGGTACTAATTCACATAGGCAGTTAACTTTGAAGTTGTGGTATATTAGGGTTCCCACTAGTCAAAAATGGAATAAGTTAGGCATCAAGAACGAGGATTATACCTGACGAATGTATTAAAAGCCACGATGAATGTATTAAAAGCCATGAGTTCAATACTTATGGCTTAAAAAATAAAAAAGAGAAACAAAACACCCTGTGGACACCAATGTAGATAACTAGGCACAAATCACTATGCTAAAAATTGATAAGGGAAAGAATCAAGTAATGTTTCTAACTTTCCAGGATAAACTGTATTATGTCAGGGTAGCCAAACAATCCCAACAGATGAGGGAATGTTCTCTGCAGAAGAACTCCAGCTCGTGAACGCAGAAGAAATGTGAAAACGACCACTTTGCAAGCTGAAGTGAAAGCACTGATTGGGGCAGTGGTAACCACTGGATGGTACAACCATGACGTGAAAAGCTGATGGCACCACCAGCAGGGAGAGCTCAGGCTGTCACCATCTAAATCCACTGGTCAATCTCAGCATCACCAAAAGTGATATTATGTCCCGATTCAATACAAGATGAAGCTCATAGTACCAATCGTTCCAGGGGGTGGGGGGCAAGTGACCCTAAATCCAATCAAAGCTTTAACTATTGGACCACAGAAAATACAGGGTATACAGAGGGAAAGTTCACTACCACCACCACTAGGAAGCAATCAGGCTATCCAAAACGTGGAGTGTTTCTTTTAAATGTGGAGTATTTTTTTTAAGTGGAATATTTTAAAAGGACAACTGACCTGGTTTCCATTTCTTAAAGCAATGGTATGGGGGGGAAATTAATGTTATGAATGATGATTTTTGAGAGGGAAAGGAATTAAAATTGTTTCTAATTCTCCTCAGTTTATAAATCTTTTCCAATCATGCTATTAGAAAAATTCAAACTTTTCTGAGAAATAACTGATCTGTAGACAGAACCAGACAATAGGATTGGGACTTGAGGCTACAAGAAAGCAAGGAAGGACAATGATTTAGGGTAAGAAACATAAAGGAGCACGAGATGACCAAAGTCATGGGCAAACTACAAGGGAGGCATCATCCCTAGACTGCAAACCCCATACCCTCTGCTAAGGTGCCGACACCTGTGATAGATCTAAAATAATCCTCAGCCCCAAGAGGATGGCCCCAATGCCTGAATTTACATGACACTCCATCTCCTGTTGCCCCATATGACCCTATACAACTGCCATGTCCCATGATTAGCCTAAATCTTGTGCAACCGTCACAAGGCAATGATTACAAGCAACAGAATACTCCAAAAGCTTTTATCATCTTAGTTGCCAAAATATTCTATATTTTAAGTAGTATTTCAGAGATCACGCTTAAAGCACATTTAGATACATACCTGCCCTTCTTCCAACATTAATGGTTTTATTTCTATGTCTTGACGCGTGCTATTATAGAAGTCATTCATGGCGCTATTTAGTTTTTGGTAGTCAATTTCATGATCTAAAAAGGTACTATTCCCTTTTATAATAACCCAGAAGCAACCTGGATCTTCAATCTGTAAAATTTTAAGACAAACAAAACAATGCATGATTTCAAAGTAGGACCACAAAATAATAAAACTTAGAATCACAATGACTGTTTCTAATTTAAGTGATCTAACAAATTCTTGATAAGCACCTGTCTTAAATGGTCAGACCAAAGATAAAAGACCCTCAATATACATACATATCAAATCATCATGTTGTACACCTTAAACTTACACAATGTTACAGTTAATTGCCTTTCAATAAAGCTAGAAAAAAAAGATAAAAGACACAAAAATAAAATCTAAAACACGTCACCAATAATATGTAATTCTTTATTATGTATTGTGACTCAAAAAGCAGAGATCAATGTCCTTGAGCTCCAGTATTTTGAAAATATCCATAATAAAATATAAAAGCAAGGTTCAGAGAATGTTTTTAGTATCCTATGTCTTTCATAAGAAAGAGGAAATACCCTGGCTGATGTGTTCACTGGTTGAGCATTGATCTATGAACCATGAGGTTTCGGTTTGATTCCTGGTCAGGGCGCATGCCTGGCTGTGGGCTTGATCTCCAGTAGGGGGCGTGTAGGAAGCAGCTGATCAATGATTCTCATCATTGATGTTTCTCTCTCTCTCTCCCTTCCTCTCTAAAATCAATAAAAATACATTATTTTTTAAAAGAGAGGAAATATACATTCTGCTCATGTGAAAAGAAATAAATGATGGTAGATAACAAAACCAAATACAAATTATTACCTACAGAGGAAGCCGGAAGTGGGCTAGAAAGGACAGAGATGGAAGTCAGATTTCTCTGAATGTATCTTGTTATCTTAGAAACTAAGATTTTCACTGTTAAAGGTACAAATATAAAATGAAAAGTTAAATTTGAATTGAAAATAGGAACTCATTTATGTACTTACCTCATGTATCCATTTCCTAATTCTTCCTCCTGAAAGAGCCTAAAAGCAATGACATCCCAAGATTTGGCTTCTAAGTACCAGGTGTCAGGAATACAGGTGTTCACATTAGTATTCTTTCTACATTTACACGCAGCTTTCGGGAACCCTCCCCAGTCCAGGTGCTGCAGAGCAGCTACAAACTCAAGCAGAAAGTCAGTCTGTGGCTGGAGGAGCCAGAGAACAGAGGATGGACCTGCCAGAGCAGCTATAAATTAAGGGGAGAAATTCTGAAGAGCCGTAGAGGGAGAGCCCTAAAGTCTGCATCAGAAAACCCCCAACCCTGGCAGACCCTGAATTGTGCAGGTAAGACTCCAAGGAGTCCAGAGAAAAGCAGCATTGGACGGTTGAAAGAAATACAGTTTTATAGCTGCTGCTCATGAGAACTGTAGAACTCTCAGCACACGGACTAAGAAGCCAAACTCTAGTGTGGCTTCCAGCCGCATAAGGCTGTGTCCCCACAATGACCAGTCCCCTCTAAAATGCCTGCCAGGAGAATTTATTGTTTGTTCTGGCCAACACCTGACAAATGCCGTTAACCTCCCTTTACTAAAGGGCTTACAGTTGTGAATCCTTCCCATCCCTTTGAGATGTGTGTAACCCCAGAACAAGCTCAAACTGGCCTTGTCCTGAGATGCTGAGTTGTTTTTCAGGGATAACCTAAGTCAGTGGTTCTCAACCTTGGCTGCACATTAGAATCACCTAGGAATCTTTTTAAAATCCTGATTTCTGGGCCTCAGAAATTCTGTTTATGTACTTATCTCAAGTATCCATTATGTTTCTTTGTTACTAATGTTGTGGCCCCACCCCATAACAAAGAAACAGAATTTCCGGAGGGTGAGGCCCAGAAATCAGGATTTTAAAAAGACTCCCAGGTAATTCTAATGTGCAGCCAAGGTTGAGAACCACTGACCTAAGTCATATCACCAAAGCAAGCTCACAGGAGAGAATTTTGACCTTCTACAATACCCAGAACCGCCCTGGAGTGTGTTCTCAGTGGTTAGAGCATTGGCCCATGCACCAAAGGGTCGCAGGTTCGATTCCTGGTCAAGGGCACATACCTGGGTTGCTGGTTCAATACCTGGCCCCAGTCAGGGCATGTGCAGGAAGCAACCAAACTATGTGTTTCTCTCACGTCAATGCTTCTCTCCCCCACTCTCTCTAAAAATCAATGGAAAAAATATCCTCAGTAAGGATAAACCCAAATAAGTAAGTAAGTAAATAAATAAATAAATAAATAAATAAATAGCAGGGAGAATCAAAGCCCCCAAGGACCCAAAGAGCTGGGACTTGAATGGAACTGGATCACCAGAATCCTTTATTTATTTTTGTTAATCCTCACCTGAGGATATTTTTCCCACTGATTTTTAGAGAGTGGAAGGGATGGAGGGAGGCAAGAGACACACATTAATTGAGGGCCAGGGATCGAGCCTGTAACCCAGGTACATGCCCTTGACCGGGAATTGAACCCACAACCCTTCAGTGTACTTGCCGCACTCTATCCACTGAGAACACCAGCCAGGGCTCCTTCCTTTTTAGAACTGAATAATATTCCATTGAATGTATCTTCCAAATTTTGCTTGTCCATTCATCTACTGATGGACACCTGGGGAAAAATATTTCATCCGTGTAAAAGCTAAATTAATCTGGAAAACAACTGGTACTTACACCACACTTGGGGAAATGAATACTCCTATACTGTCTAGAAAGTTTGCTCAGTGTCAGCATGGTAAGAGCAGGAAGTTGGGGGCAGACCAAAGCTGAGGGGGTAGATAAAAAGGTTCCTGAATCCAATTGAAAGAGAGAGAGGTTCCCAAGTTCCAGGCAGTTTAAGTCTAGCTCCTCCTGCCAGAGTTCTAGCCTGATGGATTAGCATGTGGCAGGATCTGTACCCCTGGGAGAGTCCTATCTTTACGTGTGTTTGTTGATTTCCGAGAGAGGAAGGGAGCGGGAAAGAGAGTTAGAAACACAGATGAGAGAGAATCACTGACTGGCTGCCTCCTGCACACCAACAACCCCGGCATGTGCCCTGACCGGAATCCCAGTGACCTCCTGACGCTCAAACACTGAGCCGTGTGGGCCAGGCAAGCCCTATCTTTCTAAGGAGATATTATACTAGTCTATTTAGGGCAGATGGTAGAGGAGTTTGCCAGATAGATCTGAAACCCCTAAAAGTCTCAGAGCAAATCCTCTGTCAGAATCAGGTACTTCAAATGTTTATGAATCTCAATTCATATAAAATAACATGACATAAAATAGGAACGTAAAGTTTGATTTTTTTAAAAATCCCATCATTTGTTAAGGCCCTCTCTTCTGCCCAATGAAATATGATTTTTAAAAAACAACAACATAATTTATATTTCCTTTTTTCCCAGGAACCAAAACCCACCCCTTTGCTCTGGTTTATAAACTCCTTCCTCCAAGTAACATGGTGAACACAGCACGCCTTCCCAAGTCTCTTGCATCGCCAAGGTACACTCACCTGATTCAAAGACTTTGCGAAACTGCAGCTGCCGGCCCCACTCAGCAGGCTTCACATGGGGTGAGCCCCGGCCTCGACGCCCACCCCGCGCCCCCCATCCCAGCTCCAAGGATCCAGGCCCTGAGGCGCTCGAGCAGACAGGAGTCACCACGAATGGAGACCAAACGCATGTATGAGGGGCTGGGAGGGAAGGGAGTTACCGGTCACCCCCGCCCCTGTCCAAAGGGGATAGTGACCCCCTGGAGAGGACCCATGTCGGGAGAACAGGTCAGGGTCCCCGTATCCACCGACCTGGGCCTGCAGGAGCCCTCAACCAGCGCGGACCCGGGCGGGGTGCGTGGGAGAACAGTCCGGCCCACCCCCTAAGATTCTGGATTAGTAAATACTGGCCACGCGCATTCATCTGAATTTTGGAAAAACAGCGAATAACTTTTTATGCTATGTCCTACACAGTGCATGGGGCTCCGCTGCGCTCAAATGTCGGTGGTTCTACTTAAAGAATCCAGGACCGGCATGCATATAAGCATAACCAATGGACACAAGACACTGGGGGGTAGGGGAGGCCGGGGGAATGTCAAGGGGGGGAAAAAGGAGACATATGTAATACTCTTTGTAATACTTTAAGCAATAAAACAAAAAAAAAATTTTTTTTTTTAAAAAAGAAGAATCCAGCTAATCCTAAGTCCGAGAAACCAAGATGGCGGCATAGGTAAACACCGGAGTTTGCTGCCTCGCACAACCACTTCAAAAATACAACTAAAAGACGGAACGGACATCATCCAGAACCACAGGAAGGCTGGCTGAGTGGACGTTCTACAACTAGGAGGAACGAGAAAAACATACCGAGACTCAGAGGAGGCGCAGTGCTGAAGTAAAATACTAAGGTGCGGAGTGCATGCGGAGCGGGCTGGCGGCTGAGGGCGCGGTTGTCGTTTTCAATCGGGAGGGAGTCTCAGGCTCTGAGCTCCAGTTCTGGGCGAGTCTCTAGAGACCCAGACTCATATGGGAGAAGCAGGACTGTCTGGCATCGCTCAGAACCCTAGGGCAGCTTTCTCTCCGAGGGGCTTGCAGCGATTACTGGGACACTGAGAAGCAGAGCCTCTGAGGGCAAGACTGAGAGCAGCCATAATTGCTAACCCCGCCCTGTTGATCCCGTGGGACCTGCCCCGCCCAGGCCCTGGAGGGAGACTTTTGCTGGATAGCCTCAGGCAAAGGCTAGATTAGCACCCTCCCTAGAGATCCAGGAGCCAGGAAGCCCAGAGGTCAGAGTGGGACCATCCAGTTTGCAGCTCCGTGGAACCATAAAAAGACACACTCAGTGGGGCAGACTCAGTGTGCACCAAAGCCCCATCGAAGCAAGTCTAGCCCCAGAGGGGTGTCTCCAGCACAGAAGTTCTCCCCACTGCAGACACAGCTGATTCTTCACAGCCAATTGGCCTGAAGGTCAATTCCTCCCAGTGATAACTACAACAATCAAGGCTTAACTACAACAAGACTGTGCACAAAGCCCACAAGGGGTGCACCAAGAGTGTCTACCTCAGGTAATTGGACACTTAGCACAGAAAGGCACTCTATCAACACAGCGAAATAAAAAATGCCGAGACAAAGAAACAGGGACACAAAACGACAGAATTTGGAGGAAAAGAAACTGTTTGGATATAGAGTTTAAAACCCACACTTTTTAAGGTCTTTTAAAGACTGTCTAGAAAGCTGCCCGATAAATTTTAATAAGGCCTCCAAAAAGACTTGGTGAGACCGCCGATAAATTGTAGTGAGATCTTCCAGAAGACTGGGGAAGACCACCGATAATGGAGGGAGGACCTTCAGAAAATCTAATGAGACCTTCGATGTTGTGATAAGAACCCAACTGGAAATAAAGCATACACTGACTGAAATAAAAGAAAATTATACAGACTGCCACAGCAGACCCAGAGGGTCGGCAGGATCCAAGTCAAAGATTTGAAATACCGAAGAAGGCAAAAACACCCAACCGGAAAGCAAAATGAAAAAAGAATCCAAAAATACGAAGATAGTGTAAGGAGCCTCTGGACAGCTTCAGCGTACCAACATCCAAATTTAAGGGTGCAGAGGTGGAGAGAGCAGAAATTGAAACCTATTG